AGTGAAGTCACGTTCAGAATATATGTGAGTCTGACTAAAATCAGTTTGGCAGAAGGAAAAGGAGAACATTTCTATAAAAGTTCTACAAATGTTAATTTGCTCTTCTTTTTCTTTTAAAGATTTTATTTACTTATTTGACAGAGAGAGACACAGCGAGAGAGGGAATACAAGCAGGGGGAGTGGGAGAGGGAGAAGCAGGCTTCCTGCGGAGCCCAGGGAGCCCGATGCAGGGCTCGATCCCAGGACCCTGGGATCATGACCTGAGCTGCAGGCAGCCGCTTAACAACTGAGCCACCCAGGCACCCCCATTAATTTGCTTTTCTTTTCCTCCTTATGATGGCCCACACTTTTGGTCAAGCAGTTCAAGAGGGCTTTTACCAAGTGCCTGTGACTCTACTTCCTCAGATCCTGTCAACATAATGGAATCATATACAAATGAAGATATATCATTCGAAACTTGAAAGAAGACCATTGGTCAACCAAAACAGAGAGGACTTTTCTAGAGAAGACAAAGCAGATGAAATCCTCAGTTTGGTGCAGGAAGACTGCGAATCAGTGCAGGTGTGTGTGCCAAGGGTCTTGGCTGTGAGCGCTGGAGGTGGACTTGGGTTCCTGGCAAGGGGATTTATGAAAAGGACACTGGGTGGCTCACAGACCTAACAGGAAGGCCAGAGACCAAGGCTTGCGCAAGAAGAGGGACCAAAGCAGCTCCAGGGATGTAGGAAGTGGGGACTGCTTGTCACTTTTGTCAGAGACCAGTATTGTGAGAATAATGGGCTCCAACTCCCTTTTTCATCCTTGCCTGAATCCAGTCCAGTGACAAAGTTCCAGAACAAGAGAGGAAGTTTATTAGCCGAGCTTGTGTCAAGGACCCTCCTGGGCTAGAAGGCAAACCCCCTCTACCGAAGTCCCACTCCACTGCATGCCATAGGGAGACCCATGCCTCCAACCACGGTGTTGTTACTGAAAGAAATGGGAACTGACACTGGATGGCCAAAGAAACTCATGATCACTACAACAGGGTTTTTAAGAATAATACAACAAAAACTTAAAAATAGAATTACCAGTTGATCCAGCAACCCCACTTCTCTACAAAAGCATACAAAAATATACAAAACAAAAAAAAATGAAAGTAGGGTCTCAAAAGAGGTATTTGTTTTGTACCCCCGTGTTCACAGCAGCATTATTCACAATAGACAAGAGGTGGGAGCAAACTAAATGCCCATCAGATAAATGAATAAACAAAATGTATACACATACTGTGAAATATTATCAGCATTAAAAAGAAAGGGAATATGTCCTGTCACATACCACAACATGGAGGAACCCTGAGGACACAATGCTAAGTGAAATAAGTCAGTCACAAAAGAGACAAATATTGTATAATTCCACTTATATGAGGTAGTCAGATTCATAGAAACAGAAAGTAGAATGATGGTTACCAGGGCTCAGGGGAGGGAAAAAAGGGGAATTATTGTTCAGTGGGGCCAAAGTTTAAGATTTACAAGATGAAAAAGTTCTGGAGATTGGTTGCACAACAATGTGAATATACTTAACATGGTTGAATTGTACACGTGAAAATGGTTAAGACGATAAGTTTTGCATTATATGTTGGGGATTTTTTACCACAATTATAAATATATAAATAAATAAATAAATAAATAAATAAATAAATAAATAAAATAGATAAAATAATAGTAGAACCCAAGAGCAACCACATGATAAGTGTTAACAGGGGCTTGGAGACCACAGGTTACTAAATTAAGTTCCAATTTCTCCAGGAAAAAATGGTATCATATTAGTACCTACTTCATAAGGCAGTTAGGAAAATTACAGAAGAGAATACATATATCATTTTTAGCACAATGCTTAGCTCACCACAAGTGCCGCACAAACATGTATAGTTGGGAAAATATTGACACACGGTTAACCACAAAAATATGTTTGACAATATGGCTAGTGTAATTCCATTTATGTAAAAAACAGAGAGTTCTGTGGGGGTGTGTGTTTGTGTAAATATGTGCAATGTAAGTATATTTAAGCAAGAAGAAGGAAGAACTATACCTGAAACTTGAACAGCATTTACTCTGAAGAAGCAATTTGGGATTTGGGTTGGGTGCCTAAAGGGTAAATTTCACTTACTACTATAAGAAAAAATACAAAATTCTTTGAGTGCTTTAACCTGAGTAGGCAAAAAATAATTGAATACATGTATTTTGTGTGTCCTGACTGTATACACAAATAGGGAATTAGGCATAACAACTTGGCATAAATTGTATCTACTTTCAAACTTCTAAAAAATCCAAGTGAAAAGACATAATCCTTAAAATCAGAGAACCAGCCTCAGCTGAGTTCAAAGTCAGAGGGAGACATGGCTACAGAGTGGTTAGAGAGATACAACATTGTTGGCTATAAAGATGGAGGAAGGGGGCCACCAGCCAAGGAATTCTAGCAGTCTCTAGAAGTTGGAACTGGCAAGGAAACGGATTCTCCGCTAGAGCCTCCAGAAAGGAACGCAACCCTGATGACACCTTGATTTTAGCCCAGAAGGACATTTGTTGAACTGCTCGCCTATAGAGCTATAAGATAATACGTTTTTGTTGCTTAAAAAAAAACCCAAGTGAAAAGAAAGAATGTTTGGGGCACCTGGGTGGCTCAGTCGGTTAAGCGCCTGCTTTCGGCTTGGGTCATGATCTCAGGGTCCTGGGATCGAGCCCTGCATCGGGTTCCCTGCTCAGCGAGGAGTCTGCTTCTCCCTTTCCCTCTGCCCCTCCCCCTGCTCGAGCTCTCTCTCTCTCTCTGAAAGAAAGAACGAAAGAACAAAAGAAAAGAAAAGAAAGAATGGTTATGTTAAGAGCCAACTGGATGATATGGACAAGGAGCCTGTAGATTTCAGCGGAAGAAGCCAGCACTGATGGCTGGTGGAGCTGAGAAAGACCTGAAGTGTAAGACAGAGCTCAAGTCTGGCCACGGAGCAGGGGCTTCCTTGAATAGGAAGAAGCATCCCAGGAGGGTGGAGGGTGAAGAAAAGAAACACTGGAGATAGGAATGCCCATGACATACCCACTGAACATGAGCAGGTGGTTTTGGTGACAGAGATAGATGGCGTTAGGTAGTCTGACACTGAGAAATGCAGGGGAGCCCAGCTGTGGTGGGCATGAATGCTGGCAAGAGAATTTGGCTTTAGCTGATAGACACCGGGAGTCACCGGATGTGCTCCTGCCGGAAGTGCTCCTGCCAGAAGTGCTGTGTGCACAGCAATACTTTAGGAAGACAAATCTATCCGTGGCCACAGAAAACACTGGATGGCCCAGAGATTGGGAGAAGAGGTTAGGTGAAGAACGGATTTGTGTAATATTAGTGAGTGTATGGTGACCTGGTCTAAAGTAAAAGATTAAAACCAGAAGGGAAATGCAAATGACAAATTGGCTTACATTTATGGGCCAGGCACTATCTGTGCAATCTGTATGTTTATGTAATAATAGATTGTCCTCAGTTTGCAATGGGGTTATGTCCCAGTAAACCCATAGTAAGTTGAGAATATCTAAGTTGAAATACATTTAATACACCAGCGTATCAAACCTCACAGCTTAGCCTAGCCCATCTCAAATGTGCTCAGAAAACTGACGACGTCAGCCTCCATCCAGTTGGGCAAAATCATCTAACACAAAGCCTATTTTATAATAAAGTGTTGAACATCTCAAGTAATGTATTGAATACTGTACTGAAAGTGAGAAACGGAATGGCTGAATGAGTATACAATGGTTGTCAGTGTTTTGGTTTTTCACCCTGCGATCTCGTGGCTGACTGGGAGCAGCGTCACAAGAGACAATCGTACTGCATATCACTTGCCTGGGAAATTCAAAATTCAAAGAAAGGTTTCTATAGAATGTGTATCCCTTTTGCACCACCATAAAGTCAAAATATCTTAAGTTGAACCACCGTAAGTTGGGGACCATCTGTTTATGCATACATTTATAACGTACATATATTATATATGTAGTCCATCTAACTCTTACCACAACTGTGTAAGATAGATTCCATCCATTATTACTCCATCGTCCTGAAGAGAAAGCTGAGACCTAAACAAGTTCAGTTACTTGCCCAACGTTGCGTGGCTAAGCAGCGTTGGAAAAAGAATTCCAGCCCAGGCAGACTGGCTTCAGGGTTCTTATCTTAACCACGGCCCTGGAAGGGACGACAAGAAAAGGCAGACCTTCATCACGTTCTTCACCAAGAACCACACCTGGAAAGTAAGGATGAGGGCAAGTCAACTTTATAAGCCTGTGGGAGGGAGGGAGCTAAGCTGAATTCAAAGGACGAAGGAGGCTGAATCCATGGAGTGCTGCAGAGAAGCAAGCAGACATCAGCTGTTCTGCTCTGGTCTGGGGGCAGGAGTCACGGATCCTTTTAAGAATCTGATGAGAGGCTGGAGCTTCTCAGGAAAAAAATACACATGCACAAACAAATTGTTGCACATAATTTCATTAGGTTCCTGCCCTCCAGTTAAGTCTTGCCCTAAATATGTCATGTAAACAATTCAATGACAAACATTTCTAGAGAAGAGATTTTATTTCCATTCATAAAATATATCACTAAATAGCTGAAAAAGTTACATATTATTTTAAAACATAGATTTAAAAAATCATATCAGCTTCTCCTTAGCAAAATGCTTTTGTTTTATGTATTTACAAGAATATACTATACCTTAGGTACACGATTTTCACTCAAGCCAGCCCAAGAAGGGCTTTGAATGTAGGTAGATGCTCCAGTAAAGTTAATCATCAGCTCTTCCTGCCTTGTGCAAAGGATGATTTGTTTTTTACAAAAGTTCCTTTGAAAACAAGAGTAAATACAGAGAGCTTCTAGAGAAAAGTCCAGCAAAGCAGCAGCTGAGAATATACTTTCTTTTGGTGATGAAATTAATCCTGTTTTGGTAATCTATAGCCTGTTTAAGGTGGGGGTTGGAGGGAGGAAGTCCTTAAGACTAAACTGTTTCTCTAGGAATCTTCAACGTGAGCCTGTGGAACCAGGAGCCCTGAATCCACCTCTCTGCTGTAAGGTCGCCTGTTTTGGTAGACAGAAGGACGGTCCGAGATGTGGCCATCCGTGTTCTGATACATCTGAAGGTGGGAAAAAGACAGAACACTGATTACCATCTGATGAAGATGGACATGTCAAGGGCCTATATTGCAGATTACTTACGATACATAAGTCTTAGAGGATGATCTTAGAGGATATTAACTGACAAAGCAAATTCGGTTTATTAATGGAGAAATCAAGTCATAGTCAAATAGCTGATTCCATTGTTGTTTCTGTTCTTGGATATAAAGTCCCAATCTAGAAATCCAAAAGCCGAGCAGTAAAACCATAAAAGAGAAAGGCCCCTAAAATGATCTGTTCAGAATTATGCAATTAATACAGGGGACTGATTCTTGAGTTTCACTTGGGAGGTCAGTGACTTTGAAACGTTCTTCCAAGATGAAAACAGCTCTACTTTTTGTCTGATTATAAAGTTAATGCACATTCATATAGATACTATAAGCAATATAGGAAGATATATGGAAGAAAAGCTGAAGTCACCAGAGGCATCACCATTATAGTTAGCTTGCTGGGTACACACAATTTGTGTCAGTAGGCTCAGAGCGTAGACCCTGTTTTAGAACCTTCTTTTGAATTACTAATACGTTGTTCGAATGTTACATGTGTTACACATTTTCACTCTTTACTAAATATAAGCACATTCGGGGCGCCTGGGTGGCTCAGATGGTTAAGCGTCTGCCTTCAGCTCAGGTCCTGATCTGGGATCGAGCCCCACGTCGGGGTCCCCACTCAGCAGGGAGTCTGTTTCTCCCTCTGCCTCTGCCTCTCTCCCCTGCACGTGCTCTCTGTCTCTCTCTCAAATGGATAAATAAAATCTTTAAAAAATAAATAAAAAAATAAATATAAGCACATTCATCTTTTTAATAGTAGCCTAGCATTCATAGTACAGATGCACCATAACTGACCTTTTGATGGACTGGTTTTATAACATAAACTGGGAAGTGCACACTGGCCCTGTCTGTTTCTGGGCTGAATGGGGGCAGTGGGATTGATGGGTCAAAGTGGATGCACATCTGAATGGGGACGTACATCGCCAGGCTGTTCTGCAGAAAGCTTTACTTATTTCTGCTCCTCTCTGCTGTGTCGGGGAACAACACTGTTTTCTCCCGAGCCCGACAGCAGGGGTGTTAACTATCGCTCAAGCCTCCAGCCCTTTGTCCAGCGAAGGTTTTATCTCTTTGCCTGCATGTTTCATGATAAGCAAAAAGTCGAACATCTTTTTCTATATTCAATGAACATTTGCACTTCATTGTGAACAGCCTGCTTCTCTCCTTTGCCCTTTATCTTGGGCTACCCACGTTTTTCCTGTTATTTATTTTTTTTTTTCATGATGTAGGGATCATGCATTCTTTTTTTTTTAAGATTTTATTTATTTATTTGAGAGAGAGAGAGTGAGAGAGCATGAGTGGGGTGAGGGGCAGAGGGAGAAGCAGACTCCCTGCTGAGCAGGAGCCCAATGCAGGACTTGATCCTGGGACTGCAGGACTCGATCCTGCGACTCCAGGATCATGACCTGAGCCGAAGGCAGATGCTTAACCCACTGAGCCACCCAAGCACCTGGGATAGTGCAATCTTACGTGAGTTTGACAGACTCCCTCCTTCTCCCTACCCCTCACTACTGTGTATTTCTTTGTGTTAGTTTGTTTTGATAGTCAGTTATCGTGTTCACTTAATGAACTCTGCTTAATTTTTCTTTCTGGAAAACGGACAAAAATCTCCTTTCAAACCTGGTCTTCACAGTAACAGTCAGCCTCTACCCTTAAGGATGAAAAGGTTATGATACCTCGTTTTTGTAAAGCAAGCCTAGCAGTTGGTTATGACCTGTTGCACCAAATGCACATCTCCAGCACTGAATTTCTAACCATCTAAGGAAGGCTGTGACAGAAATACCAGTAACACTTCAAATCCAACAGCTCCACACCTGAATCCATTATCTCTGATCTCCCAAACCTTCTCTCCTTCTTGTATTGACAGTTTCAACTTAGCGCACCGCCCTGCCTCCAGTCCCACGATCCAGAACTTTCAGAAGCGTCTCCTCAAGCTCGCGGTACTCCCACAGCCAATCAGAGACCAATCAGAGACAGGTCTGTCTCTGCTTTTAATGTCCTCCTGCCCATTTCTTTAAGTGATTTTTATTTATGTAAGTAATTAATGTTTTATTGACGTATAGATGAAACACAATGTTACATCAGTTTCAGGTGCACAACATAGTGATTCCGCAGGTCTGTACATTACGCCGTGCTCCCCACAAGTGGAGCTCCCATCTGCCACCATACGGCACTATTATAGTATCATGGACTGCATTCCCTGTGCCGTGTCTTTCATCCCCGCGACTTTTTCATTCTGTAACTGGAAGCCTCTACCTCCCATCCCCTTCACCCCTTTAAGCGATTTTAAAATGAATTTTTTAACTGCACAAGTAATACATGAGTACATTCTGCTTATACAAATTTTGGAACCCTAGCTTTTCAAGTGTATCAACAGAAAGAGGTGCGTAGGATTTTCTTAACACTTTTTAAAAATGGTTTCTCTATCCATAGTTATGTTCTTTTTATTCTGAATGTCATTTGTGCTTTCTCTTTTTTCTTAATTGTTCTCTTCATAGTTAGTATGCGTTAATGGTATACTTGTATACTGTATTAATATACAATATTAATATACAGTGTAAACTAGATCCAGACTATTGTATTCACATCCGAAGTCTGACACTTACTGTGTTACCTTGGGCAAACGACTGAACCTCTCTGTATCTCAATTTACTGATCTGCAAAAGAGGTAATAATAGAACTTACTTCATGAGATTGATGTGAGAATTGAGTTATTATGGGTAGTACATTAGTAGAGTGCATGACACTCAAAAATTAGCCATTAAATCATTACCATTATTAGTTCAAAAAACAACTTCTAGGTTTCCTGATCATCACTATTATTTTGTTTTGAGGGCTACTCTTGGTTTAATTAATTCTGCCTGTCTCTTTATTAGTTCTTTTCTTTTTCTTTTATTATTACTTATTTATTTTAGAGAGAGAGTGCACACAAGCATGGGGGGAGGGAGGGGAAGAGAATCTCAGGCAGACTCCACGCTCAGCATGGAGCCCAACGAAGGGCTCGATTCCAGGACCCCGAGACCACGACCTGAGCTGAAACCAGGAGTCCAGCACTCAACGGACTGAGCCACCCAGGCTCCCCTCTATTAGTTCTTTTCTTCTGCTTCGTTCATTCTCTTTTTTTTTTTCCCTCCTCCTTATTCACTGTTGTTTTTTTTTTCTTCGCTTCTTGAGTTGAAAGTTTAAGTCATTCATTCTCATTCTTTGTTTTCTAATAAATGAATTTAGAGTTATAAATTTGGCTGGCTCCTACAGGTTTTAATAAGCAGGGTCTATTTTTATGTCTTTTTCCTTTCTCCTCCTTCTTCTTGTGAACCAAAGGCTTCTGTAAGAAGCATGAGTTTTAATTTCTCATGTAGGACACTGGGGGCTTTTCGGGTGTTACTGGTGATTTTTCATTCCACCGCACGGAGGTTAGTAAATGTGATCTGTGTGATAATAGTCTCATTTATTTTGAAATTCTCTTTCTTAAGTGGACTTACGAATCCTGCCATTTTGAGCTTTTTCTATTTCCATGAATGCTCTTTGTTTCTCTCTTCCCGATTTTGTGGCATTGATCAGATTTTCTATGGTCCTTTTTTCTTCCACACTGAACCTGAGATTATAGATTATATTTCTATTTTCACAGTGGTTATACTTACATTTTTAACACCCATGTTATTCTTATGTGTATTTAACAGTGTGACTGGTCCCACTGTGGAACTTCTGCACGATCCCACCAGACCTCTCCCTACCCTCAAGGAAAGCACTTGTCCTTATTCTTTCAAAGAGTCCTCTGTTGTGGGTCTTCCCTCTTCAGCCCTAACTGCTTTCATTGTCTCAGGGGTTTTCCACTGTTTCTGGTCCACAAAGATCTCCTTCTGGCTTTCAAAGGCAATTATGGCCTCACGTCTTTAAAAAAATATAATAAAAAATATATGCATGTGTGTATATATGTATCTATATATTTTTAATGTTTATTTTATTTTTTTAAGATTTTATATATTTATTTGAGAAAGAGAGAGATCGAGAGAGAGAGAACACAAGTGGGGGAGGGGCAAAGGGAGAGGGAGAAGCAGATTTCCCGCTGAGCAGGGAGACCCATGCGGGACTTGATCCCAGGACCCTGGGATCATGACCTGAGCTGAAGGCAGACGCTTAACCGACTGAACCACCCAGGCGCCCCATTTTTTTATATTTGTTTTACATTTATTTTATATTTGTATTATATTTATTTATAATATAGTATATATAAATACATGATATATTGATAATATATTTATATTTTATGTATATATTTCCTATGATTTTTGGGCACGGACATGAGAGGAGAGGTGATGTGAGTTCAGGCCGCTTTCCTGAAACAGGAGCTGTGTGTGTCCCTTCCTTCTGCACCTCCCCATACCCCACCGTCTAGTTCACCCTCTCATCTTTGCTCACCTCTGTTGCCACAGTCACCTCTTAACTGATGTCCTTACTTCTGCTGTTAGGCTTTTGCTTTCTCAAATTTACTTTTATGCCTGCCTGCCTGCCTGCCTACCTTCTTTCCTTCCAGAAATATTTGCTTAGCACTTTCCATACACTAAGCATTATGCCAGCCACTGGGTATGTAATGGTGAACAAAACGGATGTGACCTCTGACGTACCCTCGTGCTGACAGGCACTCATTTATTTAATGACCAGTGAGTGTCTCCTGCCCGTGGAACTGCATCAGGTGATGTGAAGATGAGCAGTGCATTTGCTTGCCCTCATGAACCAAGTCCACTGATGGGAAAAACAGACCCATAAAGCAAAAGTCTCACACAACATCACTGGAGTCTCACATACAGTTAAAGACAAAGTGGTTAGGGGGATCACCTACCTTGGCACTCCATTTTACAGGTGCGAAAACTAAGGCCCAGAGAAGTACAGTGATTTGCCATAATTCATACAGCGATGAGGAGCTGGAGTCCTAGAGCTGGGATTAGATTCTCATGACTCCAGGTCAATGTTCTTTCCACTCTGCTGTATTGTATGACTGGATTGTGTGATTATTCCATACTAAAGCTTCATGTTGAATTAGGAAAGGTCAGTGGGGGTCAGGGATTAAGTTTTGTTTAGTCGTCTAGTCCTGTGCACTGGACACTTAAAAGCATTTAATTTCTTAATCAATCGGCTGAAAACTTTAGGGAAAGCTTTTATCCCCCCCTAAAAACGCTTACCAATAAATATATCTCACCCCATACAACTTTCAAAGGGCAACCAGACAAACTGCTGAGAAAGACACCGTGCAACTTTGACTTTTAGGAAATCAGGGTGTGTTCTGAGTTATTGCTTTCCTTTCTAATAGTCTTTTATAAAGTACTACACAGCTACGTACCGCTTCTTCTGCATCCGCCAACTGACATCCCAAAAATGAAGTTAGATTGGGGAAGGATGGCCTTTTCCTTGAGTCAAAAGCCCAGCAGGATTGCATTATAAAGTATCTGTAAAAGCAAGAGAAGAGGAGTAAGCTGAGGAAATCCGAATAAAGAAAAGCTGATCATTTTCCACCATTTCTTGCTGGGAAGCTACTCATCATCTATCCCCTGTTTGTTTTGTGGCAAGTACTCTACTAGACTTTGAATTCACACCAGGAAGGGCAAATTAGATGACAGAAATGCATTTTGTGGACCAGGAACTAGGAGATGGAGTCTTCTCACCCTCAAAAGAATTGAAGCCCCTAATTCACAGTATCTTCAGTTTTGTCCAGAAATCCCCAAAAGAAAAAGGAAGAGTTTCCTTTTCTTTCTTTTTTTTTTAAAGAGGAATCATGAATTTTGCATTTTTTTTAAAGATTTTTATTTATTTAATTGACAGAGAGAGAGAGAGACAGAGAGAGAGGGAACACAAGCGGGGGGAAGTGGGAGAGAAGCAGGCTTCCCGCTGAGCAGGGAGCCCGATGCGGGGGCTCGATCCCAGAACCCTGGGATCATGACCCGAGCCAAAGGCAGTCGTTTTTTTTTCTGAGCCACCCAGGTGCCCCTACATTTTTTTTTTTTTTGACATGCATTTGGAACTAGAGAGACTGTAAATTCCCGATTTCAGCCACCATGCAGTCTGGTTTGAACTTACATTTCTTCCGTAGCATAAAATGGCTGATCCATCTTAAATCCACTTTGAATGAGTTTATAGAAGTTAGCGTCAACCGGAATACCAGGGTAAGGATTGACACCTGAGGAAGACATTAGGGAAGATAAACTATTTCATTTGTTTATTTATTCACTCGATTAACAAGCATGCACCGAGAGCTCCCACGGGCCAGACACCGCTTGGCGCGAGGTTGAAAGTGGGGAAAGTTGTGGCTCCTCCTCTCACACAGGTATAGGCTGGTGGGGAAGACACCACAGTAAAACGTGAAGTGGCACAGGTGTCAGACTAGAGAGCTCTTGGGAGCATTAGAGGTGGCATGTCATGCACGCTTTGATCTAGGAATGGGGGTGAGGCGTGGAGGGGGCAAGGGATGGCAACAGTGTGCAAAACTTACCGAGTGAGAATATCTCCCAGAGTAATATTCCATATGACCAGACGTCACTCTTTATGGTGTAGATCCCTTCAAATAAGCTTTCAGGAGCCATCCACTTTACAGGCAGACGAGCCTGTGTGGAGTCCAGGAGGAGATCAGTGGTGATCAGTGGTGAAGTAACTGAATGGTGAAGAGTATTTTCTTTGCTCTTACTAGCTAGATGATAAAATTTCTTGGCTTCCTAAAGCCACTCTTAATGCTTAATGGAGAAAATCATATTCCTCAAGTGGAAGGTTTTCACTTTTAAATCAACATTCTAACATAATAGCCTTACAAAAAGAAAACAAAACAAAAAACCCAAACTTTTTTTTTTTTTTTTTTTTCAGCTTTCTTCTTTTTTTTTTTTTTTTTTTTTTGAGAGCACATGCATGCAAGCGGGGGCAGGGGTGGGAGGCAGAGGGAGAGGGAGAATCTTAAGCAGGCTCCACACTCAGTGCAGAGCTTGACACACTCAGCTCAGGGTCCATCTCATGACCCCAAGATCATGACCTGAGCCAAAATCAAGAGTCAGATGCCCAACCCATTGAACCACCCAGGCGCCCCACAGCTGGCCATCTCTTTAAAACTCATCTTGAACAAAGCTTTGTGCTTGGAATGGGTAAGCTTAACAGCAGATAATTCCCATTAAGGAGTAAGCAGTCTGTTGCCCGGAGGTACGTAGATACAGGTAAATTAGCAAGATATTTTGTTAAAGCATTTCTTGGAAGAACTTTAGTGGAAATCCCAGCTACAAAAATGTGGTGAGGGGGTATATGTCATCACTTCCAGGAATGACACCAGGCTGGCTTCTGTGGCTTGAATAATTTCCAGTAGCACGAAAGGCAGGTTTAGAGTTAGTATAGCCTCAGATTAGAATCAAGACACAGGGGCAGATAGGTTACCGGGACAGAGCTTTTTGTAGCATTTTCTTTTTCATGAGCTGAGGAGCCCTTCACAGTGCACATTTAATCTGCCAAGTAAAATCAGACCTCAAAGGGCACCTGGCTGGCTCAGTCAGTAGAACATGTGACTCGGTATCTCAGGGTCGTGAGTTCCAGCCCCACATTGGGTGTAGAGATTACTTAGGGAAATTAAAAAAAAAAAATCAAAGCTCAAGAAAGAAACCCTATTTTAAATCCTATACAAACCGATGAGCTGATAGAATCAAACAGGCTAGTCTGGTTAATTTGATTAATTAAGGGAATTAATTGAAGTGCCAAATGGAATTCACCTTCCCACATAAGAGACCACCAGCCAGTAAGGTAAAAACCACACAGCCACCCGTGAGCTTTGATCATCTTTATGACTTCAGCTACGAGTGAGGTATAGATCTAAAATCAGGTGAGATGGTTATTTGATTCTAATGGGAATAGTGTTTAATTTGATTTTTAACATTTATTGGCCGTTTACCCCAGACAGGTGCTTTCATGTTGGTTTTATTGGTTTATTCCCACAACAACGCCAATGAGGTAAGCAGACAGTCCTCATGGGAAATGCTGCATGTGTCACAGTGGTTATGCACAGGCTTGGGGCTCAGTCCATTCATGCTCCAGTCCACGTGCTGTGTAATCATGGGCAAATTATGGTTCTGTGCCTCGGTTTCCCCACCCACAAGTAGGCACTTTGAGAACTAAATGAATGAATATATGTAAAGCACTAAGAATAGTGCTTAGCACCCGGTAAGCGCCAACTCAGTACTTGGTGCCACTATTATTTCACAAGTGGGGACAATAAAGCACAGAAAAATTCCAAAAAGGAATAGGGGCTTAACTTTAGGTGTTGTGATTCTTACATGCCACTCTTTCCAGTACACAATTTTATCATCTAGTATTTCCAATAGTTCTTAAATAACATATCTGCCCCTAGTTGGGTTTTTATTTTTGTTTTTTTATTTTTTTAACAAGTAGATTTTGTCATATTTTAGGTCTTCCTGTGTGACAGTAATAAGATGCTAAATATTCATTAGCTAATATTTAATTTAAATATTGTGCCCTTTTAAAATTTACATTTAATATTTATTTTATATGTTGTACTTTAAAAAATGCTTTATTGTAGCGACTGCCAAATTCCCATACCTGGAAACATGACTCTGGTTACATTATAGCTAAGGGAACTGAAGTAAGTTCAAGTAATGAGTGTCTTTTAAATGTCGATGGTACTCCAAGGTCCCTAACTGGTCTGTTCTGACTCGCCCAAGGATAGATGTGATGCTATGTTGCTCAGGTTTTATTATAACTGGAATATTCCCTGAAGCTACAGAAAAAGCTTTCAAACATAAGAAAGCTGACTGCAGTGAGGAAGTTTTTGGAATCAAACCCGCACTACAGCGAATGCAGATGTCTACCGTCACAATAACAAAACACAAAATAACAGCATAAAAATATGTGAGAAATAGCAGCCTCACATTGCCCCTGATAACATAGTTGGTGTCACTCATAATATCCCGGGCCAGTCCAAAATCACAGATCTTCACCACTTTCCCATGGGTCACGAGCACGTTCCTGGCTGCCAGGTCTCTGTGAACACACTACAAAGAATGAAATTGGAGTGTTATTTACTCTGACAGAGATTATCACAGAGTGCAATTTTGCTTCCAGTTTCAAGTTCAGCAGGAGTTACAGATGACAGCCAAGTGTGGTTCATCGAGGTGCCTTATTTTTACTGGGCCCCCGACAGTCATCACGCGTGACGTGCGGCACACAGAGGGAATGCAGATGGCCCAATTCTTCAGCTGTTGTGTTTGCAGTCATTCGTGCTGCTTATGGAACATTCCCGGGAGCCAAGAGGATGGGTTCTTAGGAAGGAGATCAAACCTGGCTGGGAGTTGTGTCTTCCTATAAATAAAAGACACAATACCAGGGCCCAGTATTGAGCTCCCTCCCAAAGGGATTTTTGGAGGCTCTTGTCTAGTGGGGCGGAGAAAATTATCTCTTTTCTGACTGGAAAACAGCTTTGGCAATGAGAGTACGATCAAAGAAAATATTTGGAAAAAAAAATAAGTTTGGGAAGGTTGACTAAAGTGAAATTAGGAGCCTCTGGATGGACAGAGGACACGACATGAATCTGAGTGGTCTGGCAAGAGAATTAACTCTGAGAAGGAAGATATTCAAAGGAACAGAGCACTAGGAGCTAAAGGTCCAAAGGACTCTCTTCAATCTTGAAGAAATAAAAGCAAAAACCAGGCAGACTAAAATCCCCCTAGCTCTCCTTCCTCCCTCTCCAGTTTTCTGAGAGTGTTGCCCGCTGCCTGTAGACTCCATTTATACTTCCCCCCCTTTACTACCGGCCCCCTGCACCCTGCCTTCCTCCCCCCAGATGTCTGCCCCAGCTGCCTGGGCTAAGCCCCGCAGTGACATGCACGGCACCAATCCAGTAGAGATGGGATTTGGCTTCCTGGTGACACCTGGTACTGCCAGGCCAGCCCCTCCTCCTTCAGGTCCCTCCTTCTGTGAATTCAGCACGGCCCCTGTTATCTTCCTACTGCCTGCTGGAACCTGTTTCCTCCTGGGGCTCCATGCAAGCCTGCTCTCATTCCCCAGGGCCGCACTCTCTCGGTCCGCATCCTCCCGAGCCACTTCGTCCAAACCGAGGGACGCAACTACCATCACCCAACCTCTGTTTCCAACCTAAACATTTCTGTTGAGCTTCAGACAGGAATATCTGCTGGACTAGGCCCTACTCTGCTGTCCCGGGAACCCCATGCCACACATTTAACTCGTGACCTTTCTCAACAGACTTCCTCCTGACTTCGTGTTCCCTGCCCTATGCCATGTTCCCTACTGGTTTTCCTTTTCCTCAGAAATCTCCTCTAGCCGAAGCACGAGCTCCTTCCCCAAGCCTTTTCTGCACTGTTCCCCACCCCTGGTTCTGATATGTGTGTGCGTGTCCTGGGTTCCCAGAACGTACGTGAACATGAGTATTTACCACGCTAATTGTCATCTTCGATTTGCGTGTCTGCTTGTCTCTTTCTCCCCTGTCAGTGGTAGGCTCTGACTCTATCTCAGCACCTCGCACCGCGCTTGGTACTAGTCGGTGCTCGAGTAACACTGGATGGGGTCACGGAGGCTACGGGGAAAGCAAGGAGCGACCAGAGCAGTAGGGAGAAAAGATAAACAGAGACAGTGACATCATGTTGTAGAGGATAGGGCCTAAAGGGAAAACAAGGGGAGAGGGTGTAAGAACCTGGATATTCCTCAAAAAAGTTCTTATTATAACAAGCCCAGAGGTTAAAAAAGCAGCGCCCCTTGACCTCCAGTTGTGAGCAGTCTGCGTATTTACTTCAAGACAGGCAGCAAACCAGGCCAGATGATCGAGGTGGAGGCCCTCCAAGGTCTACAAAGACTCGCAAGCACTACTGTAGCCAAGTAGGTGAACTATAGTTAAAGCAACTACGGACACACTGGAGAAAAGAGGAATCCAACAGCAGGCAGGGAAGGGGAGGAGAAGAATGTGCCTCAGACAGATGAATGGGTAAAGAAGACGCGGTATATACACACAGTGCAATACTACCCAGCCATCAAAAAATGAGATCTTGCCGTTTGCAACGACATGGAGGGAACTGGAGGGTGTTGTGCTGAGCCAAATAAGTCAATCAGAGAAAGACATGTATCATATGATCTCACCGATATGAGGAATTTGAGAAACAAGACAGAGGCTCATAGGGGAAGGGAGGGAAAAATGAAACAAGACGAAACCAGAGAGGGAGACAAACCATAAGAGACTCTTAATCTCAGGAAACAAACGGAGGGTTGCTGGAGGAAAGGACGATGGGAGGGATCGGGTAACAGGGTGATGGACACTGGGGAGGATATGTGATGTAATGAGCACTGGGTATTATATACAACGGATGAATCACTGACCTCTACCTCTGAAACCAATAATACATTATATGTCAATTAATTGAATTAAAAAAAAAAAAGAATATGCCCCAGATTTTTTTTTTGGGAAAATATTAAGAGAGAGAATTTTTTTTTTTAACTAGTGAGCAAGGATGCCCACATCTGGAAAAAGAAAAGCAAAGAAGGCAATACGCACTTTCAACATCCATGAGGAAAAAAAAAAAACAAAAAACCACTGAGATTCTAACTGGAGTTGTGCTAAACATACAGATTAACGTGGACAGAACTGGCTTTTCTAATAAACCCTGAATCTCTCCTACATGAACATGGTAGAGCTCATTTATTCAGGCCTCCTTTTTGCCCTTTAATAATGTTTTGTGTGGGTCTGGTGTATTTCTTGGGTTTATCTCAAGATGCTTCCCAGATTTGGTTGCTATTGTTGAACATCATTTTTTTCTGTTCTTCAGAGCTGTTGATTTATTTCATATTAATCTTTTTTTAAATTGGGATATACATGACCTATGACAATATATTAGAGAAAGTAATTTTTTTAAGGAAAAAAAATACAGTTGAAATGATTCTCTCCAAATTCAGAGAGAACAAGGAGAGAGGAGGGACCTGGAGGTAAGAAGGAGAAAGAGAAGCAAAGATTCAAAGGGAAAAGAGTAGGGAAGAGTTTGGGAAATACACAGAAGGTAACAGAACATGAGATGGTGCAGACAGAAAGCAGCCAGAGAAGTGACTTCCATCTGCTCACAGGTAAGAGATGCTTGAAATGTCTGAGAACAGGGCTGAGAGACAATTATAGAAGGAATGCAAAACTGAGGTAGAAACCAGGGTTTGAAGCAGGCTCCATGACCCTCACATCAACGTCCTGTGAGTCTGGGATTAGCAACAGAGGAGGCAGCAGGTGCACCAGGATCCTGCTAGCCCACCACACGGCACTGCCGAAGAGGCAACGGCCCCTCTTGCCAGGGGCTGTCCTGGCAAGCCCAGCACACTGTGTTGGAGGCCTTGCTTACCCAGGGTCAAACGCCCATGCGCAGGGCGCAGCCTTGAACAACCTGGACTGACTGTCCAAGGAAGGATTGACGCTGTATGCCTCGCTTTGACTTCCTAGCTGGAAGTCTCAGGGGACTTTGCACTGCTGGGGAGGGCTTCGATAACCCTTATCTAATAAGGGATCTCAGGCGTTCCCCCTGTCATTCACCCAGAGCTGCTGTAATGAACGTTCTACGTGGCTCCAACAGTGAAGGGGGTGGTGGATGGCGGGGGAGACAGATTTTAAGGGATACAAGTTGAAATAAGAAAAAGGAAAGCACATCTCATTTCCAAAATTATCTTGTTGCTGTTAGTTTCTCCTTCAAAAGGGACTTACCGACTTAAATTCCAGAAATTCCATTCCTTTAGCAACTTGATATGCAAAGCAAAGAAGGTCTTCAAATGTCAGCACGTTCAAGTCCTCTTCTTCCTCCAGCCTTTTTTGGTTTTCATATTCAATTTCATCTGTAAAACAAAACTGGTCAATTGCTGGTCAGTTGCTTGCCCCAAGTCTAAGAAGTTGCCCCATTACATCCCCATGGGGAGGTTATCAAAGCAATAGTGAGGAGGGATGCCCAGACTACACAGGAAGCTCCCCAGCACTGGGGCTAACCCATTCATGCTAAACCTGTGGGGCCTCTGAAGGGTCAGCCAAAGATTCCTTTTGGTTAGAGGAGTAACCTCTCCAGCTGCTTTGGTGACAGACAGCCTCCTGATCAGTCAGGAGCTTCTGATCCTCCTCTTTTGTGCGAGGTAGTTTTGTCACATGGGAAAGAATTAGCATCACACCACCACATTTCATGAACTGCACTGGGCACTTACTGTACTTCCATTTAATCCTTCTGATGGTACTACGACAAAAGTACTATTGGGCCCATTTCACAGATGACAAAATGGTGGCTCAGATGGTTACATAAACTGTCCAAAGTCTTCCAGCCAGAAAGTGAAGGAACCCAAGGTTAACCCAACTTTTGTCTGATTCCAGAACTCATCATTTTTCCACTTGTCAGTAATCAATGGCTCTAATTAATTTATGATTTTAAAAAGAACAACCTGACCAAATAAAACAGCCCTCTGTGTTTATTAGTTGCATGCTGACATCAAATGCACAATACATAAACTGTTGGCTTTTCACTACCTCTAAAGCAAATATGCATTAATAAAGCCTTCAGGGGACATTAGCAAAGAAAAACATGCTTTGCATTGACACTCTTTTTAAAAAAACAACTAACAGAATTCCTGTATCTGTTTCTACTTTAAGGTGCTACTAATTAGAATAAAATATTACCTTCGGATTGAAATGAATTCCCATTGAACCCTGAGATATGATCCAAGTCCTGGTGTATCTGAACTTCTCTTGAACCAGGCATACTATTAAAAAAATTATTTTGTTATTTATGTTCTTCTTCTGATTAGACATTTAAAAAAATACAATTCATCAAAGAAATGAATTCTAGTTATAAATGGGCTTTCAGATTAAAAGCACAGCATCCACTTGTCCATTTTTTTGCGTGTGTGGACATTAAAAACATGTGTGGAATTGAGCTTGCCAAGTCTAACGAGGAGAGAAGTGATCCCCATTATCTGTACAGGGCCCCACAGTTCAAACAGGACCTCACTCAGTCCTTGTCACAACTCGACAAGCTGGGTGTCAGAGTCACATTTCATAAAAGACTTGGTGAGATAAATGTGATTTGCTGAAATCATGAAGCTAACAAAATGTACAATTAGGACTCACACCTCTTTTGTTTCTGAAAGCCCACTTTCCCTGTGAAAGGTCCTGTAATACAGATCTTCTACAAAGACCTGTTGTTTTAACATCCTTCTTTTCTCAAGTTGGTCTTTGTAAATAAAGTGCATTTCCTTTTCCTGTGAAATTAATAAACAGTAATAACGAAACTCTTTTGTGGTGTATTACATAAAATTCTTCACTGAGGAATTCTGTGTGCATTATATACAGACAATGATTCCATATATTCCAGCATACAAATTCATCCCAATTTACAGTTTCCATATCTTTGGAAAATGACTTTATGCTTGCACACCACAAATATTCCTACGTCGCTTCAGTGTGTTTAATACTCCAGTGACTAGAATGAATCAAAGGCCCTGTTGACCAGCATTAGTTGTTGCTAACCGTGGAGTGCGGATCACACCATCTGCCTCATTAAGAGACTCTATTCTAGAATACAGATGACATTGCAGAATTTTCTCAGTTTTAGAATACGAACTGAGAAACAAGTGTGAAAGACAATACTAGTGTGACAGGCATGAATTGGTTACGGGCAACCACACAAAGATGCCCATGGGGATCTCCAAGGGGCCTCCCAGCTTTAAGATGCTAGGTCTCTGTCTCAGAACTTAGAAGGCCAAAGGCCTGCACTGAAACCTACACGCTAAGAAAAACAAGGCTGGAATCTCAAGCGCACCCTCCAAAAGTCCCTTGGTAAAGACAAAAGTTTCTAAAGACCTGCTTTAGGATAAGGGAGTGTTTTCACATGTGTGGAGGAAACAGGAAGACACTGTGGATTGAGGAATCATTCTATTAAGAATGCCTGTGAATTCATTCAGAGATAGGTGTTATATGATGTTTAAGTAATTAGCAAGAAATTTCCAGGGATGAAGATGAGCATCCCACCAAACTCCTACAGCCTTCATTTATGCATGCTAAAACAAAAAATCCTAACAGGACTCAGAATCACTCAGGCTCCCCATGGATGGCAGAATATACAACACAGAGCATAGAGACAAATGTTACTGCTACTTAATTTTGTCCCCATCACATTATGTCAACTGATCCTTTCTAATTTTTGAAAATCCAATTTATGAGTTCAGAGCTCTTTTGCATCAAACTCCCAAGACCTGAACTACTCTCTACGAATATGTCAAGGACTTTGGGAAAAGTGTTCATTCTTTCTACTAATTCCTACGTGTCATCCAGGAGAGGTGAAAGACTGAATAAAGCACTCTTCCCAAAACTGAGTATGTGTCCAGAGTGTGATTCAGGCACAGGTGGACGGAGACAGCTACAGCCCCTGTACCATAGGAAAGAGAAAGTCTCATTGTTCCAGATCAGCAGAGAAACTAGAACGAAGATAAGTGACCTTTCTAGATCTTAGAGCCCATAGACTACACAATGCTGGACTCTGGCCTTCAGAGCCCAGCCAGTGTGGGGTGTTAAACCATCATACAGGGGCTGTGTTCTGTAACGTATCATTGTGAAACCCTGGCCCACTTCTCTTACCTGGAATTTGGGTGTGATTGGAAAGTGGGGTAAAAACTGAAATTGTGTTCCTTGAAAATCTCTGTCCATGTCCTGTGAAATTTTTCTCTTTTATTTCTTAGATAGTTGAGAAGATCACCATAGCAGCAATATTCAAAAATCAAGTAAATTGGTCCTGAAATAGAATTTTCATTATAGCTATACAAACTCCAAATAATTCTTTCAGATGTCTGTGTGGCAGACGACATCATCTATGAGAGCCTACTTTTCCCCTGACTTGGAAAGAGTACAACTTTTTCTGATTTTATCTCTTCTTATACTTTAAACTCAATTTTGGCTTTTGGCTCTAACTCCTTTGGAAAGCAGTCTCCTTCTGCCTTCCGTTTGGGCCCCTGTTGTCCACTGCCTCACCAATAACCCTCCGCCACTTGGATTCTCCAGTTTGCAACTAACCAGGAGTAATATGCCAACTGCGTTGTGAGCACTTGGCAAATCTATGCCCATCTATTGTTTGCCTGAGGAGGGAGATATAGGTCACAAGTAGCCTCCTAGATCTATTTGCTCTTGTTCTCTTTTTTTTTTTTTTTTTTTTAAAGATTTTATTTTATTTTTTTGACAGTGAGAGAGACAGTGAGAGAGGGAACACAAGCAGGCGAAGTGGGAGAGGGAGAAGCAGGCTTCCCGCTGAGCAAGGAGCCAGACGTGGGGCTCAATCCCAGAACCCTGGGATCACGACCCGAGCTGAAGGCAGATGCTTAACGACTGAGCCACCCAGGAGCCCCTGTTCTCTTCTTTCTTGACCCCGTCCCAGAAGGAATGACCCGCGAGCACGTCTTTCCGGTATCTTTCCGTTATTTCTAGGCAGAAGTGAATCAGAGCGCATGCTCCACTGAGTGCTGGGAAAATGGAGTTTGGAATCCCGCCTTCACTGTGCCTTATTTGAAGAAGCCCAAACTGGGCAGTGGCCAAGCTCTGCGGCCATTCTCCCCACTGCATGGAGGCCAGCTTCACAGGCTGGGGAGAAGCTCCATCTGAGCAGGTAGAATGAGATACCACCACAAAGTGTACCTGCAGTGCTGTTGTTGTTTTTAAGTAGGTTAGAATTATGTGGCATACCCCAGTCCAGAGAGGCATTCTCTACACTGACCCATCTGATTTTGGAGTGCTCAATGTCTAACTCCACTCGGGTTTGAGGGCCTGTACTATGACTGAGGAAAGAGGAAAAATTGAGAACAAATGTCCTCTTTGTCCTCTGGCTAAAATATTTTTGATGAGATGTTTTTAGCAGGAATTGATTACCTGACAGTGTGCATGCTCCCAGCAGATTCACGATATTCTCGTGGTTTCCCAGGTGAGTCATCATTTTGAGTTCGGACATGAGAGCCTCTCTTTCAGAACTGTCAGCCTTTTCTGTCAATGGAAAAGCATAAAAAAAATATAAAACTGAAGCAAAATAGGTATTTTAGATCGTTTAATAAATTAAAACTTTGTTCAGTTCAGAGCAGATTTGCATGAAAATTTTAAAATGCATAAAATAATTCACAAATTTTGAATAATAATATCTTGTGTTTAAGACAGAATTTCAACGATTGCAGTATAAAAGTTTAGTCTGATAATGTGCCTTCCTACTGGACATTCCTCTACTTACCAAAATAAAAATCTTTATATTGACCCTCAAAAAACAAAACAAAATGCATGATTTTTCCTCCATGGTAGAAGTTAATAAATACACTGAAGGGAAAAACATAACTTTTTTTTTGACTCTTGGATTTGTTGGACACAGAAAGACAAGATAGGAATGTTAGCAAGGTTGGCTCCAGCCTGTGGTCCTCAGATTTAAAATCTTAAACTTGTCAATGGGTCCAATGGTGAGAAGGTCAAAGAGACCAATTCCCACTAACCAAGTTCTCAAGAGACTCACTAATTGATCATGAGAAACCTAACTGCAGAATAGGCTAGAATGTATCCGTTGGCTAATGCATTCTCTCCCTGAAGATAAGTCTAGATAGCTTGGCAAATTGTACTCATAATCTTGCTTAGAAGCATAGCATGAGGGTAGTTATTGATAAACTCAAAGGTCTCATGTCACGGAGAGTGAGGTGCCCAGGTGATTGGGGCACTCCTGCCCAGGAGGGTGTTGGAGCCCTAGGCACCAGGTACCCACTCCTCTGTTAATGTATTCTTTCTTACAGACATAGTAACTTTTCTTTACATCCAATGAAGATTTGATTCGATATTTCCGGGTGTCATTATTTTGTCTTGGAAGACACCTAGCCTTTATGCTAACTTTTTCAGATCACTGATGCCATCTATTTTGATTTAGTGAGGTCTTGGGGGTATCCTTACTACCAACATCTTGGCATGGGAGTGAGCTTCTTCACTGTGAGTGCTATGACCCACTAGTATGGGTCATGTCTTCTGCTGTTTCATGTTTTATAGGGGTCCATGGCTTTCAAATGTCCATGTCTTGTTCCTCACAACCAAGTAATATATTTTATGGTGTACTTAACTTTTTCAAAGCACTTTCATTTATTCTTATCCATTCGTTCACTGAACAAGTATTTATTGAATGTCTATAGTGTATGAGGCAATGTGCCAAGCAATGGGGACTGAAAGATAGACAAGACACAGCCCCTGTCTTCCTGGAGTTTAGAGTCTCCTGGAAAAGGAAGACAAGTAGATAAACAATTATAACATAGTGTGATAAATGCAAAGTGGCAAATGAATGGAGGGGGTGCTGTGGGGTCACACAAGAGGGACACCTAACCTAGCCGTGGGGAGGTACAGAAGGGAACGCCAAGTGCATGTGCTGAGACCTGAGGAAAAATAAGAGTTCACTAGGTGAATTTACAGTGGGAAGGGAGGGAGAACATTCTGTACTGAAGTAATAGATTGGGCAAAGATCAAAATACAGAAAACACAGTAAACAGATACAACCCTTGTCCTCGTGAGGCTTACAGACTAATGTGGCAGATGAGACATGAATGGGATAATTAAGTAAATATGTCCCTACAGCTGCAATAAATTGCATGGGAAAGAAGCCTACGGAGAGCTAACAGAGCATACGGCATGGAACTTGATCTCTTCTGCGGTGTGAGAGAAGGCTTCCCTGAGGAAGTGATATTTGTGCTGAGATCTAAAGGAGGAGTGGAAGAGAACTGTGTTAAAGGGGAATGGTGAGCAGAGGGATTGGCCTGTACAAAGGCCCTGGGATGGGAGGGAGCATGGAGTTCTGGAGGAACTGAAAGAAGGCCAGTGTGCTGAGGGCGAGGCGGGCAGCCAGATTGCGAAGGGCTGTGGACACTACTTTGGGAGTGATCAAAAGCACGTGGCAACATTAAGTAGGAAAATGATCCGCTTTGCGTTTCATTGTTGTCACTTGGGGCTTCAATATAGAGAATCCCAAAGGAGGTAAGAGTGCATAAGGATCCCTGCCTGGATGGCCACTGCAGCCGTTCGTTCAGGAGAGATAGATTCGGACTAGAGATGAGGAGAGGATGGATTCAAGGAACACCAAGCAGGGAACCTGAGATGGATGGCTTATAGGGGGCTGGAATGAAGGCAGTTTCTGGTTCACCTGACTGTGGGGAATGTGGCGAGTCACTGGTACTCGTAACCAATCACAGACAGGGAGCGTTGATGGAGGGCCAGGGTTGGAGGAGTTCAGTCTGAATTAGGGAAACTTTGGAGACACCCAAGCATTTGGACATAACCTGAGGCTCGGAAGGGAGGCACGATTGTGAGAACCATTGGTACAAGGGATGAAGACATGGGTGTCGTTGACATAGCCTGTGGAGAGCATGTGGAGTGAAAAGGGAAGGAGGCCCAGGAGCAAGCCTTCAGGAACCCCACATAAAAAGCCAGGTAAAAGACGAGGAGCCAGCATAAGACTGTGAAGCAGGCAGAGAGGCAGGAGGAAAAACAAAAGAATATGGTGACATGGAAACCAGAGGAAGAAAGAGTTTAGAGGAGAGAACAGTCAATGGTGCCAATCTATGCTGAAAAGTCAAGCAGCATGAAGACTAAAAGATGCCCATTAGACTTGGTGTGTTGGAGGTTGCTGATTCCCTCAGCAAAAGCCAACCGGGCACTCTGGCTGAGTGAGTGATGCTAAGGGGAGGGATGGCGGTGGAGGCCAGGTGGGAGGTAATGAAGCCACGAGTGGGAAGTGAGAATACAGAGGGCTTCAATTTGTTCTTCTACCCAGGGTCTGTGTCAAAATGTGAGAAACAACATCTGCCTGTAGTAACAGTACCCCCTAATACTGAAGCCGAAAACACTCAACAAAAGGGTTGAGATGGAGTCCAGAAGAGATGGAGTTTTGCGTTCATGACTAGTATTTTATATTCACAACTTGGTTGACCCGAACCCCAACTCAGTCCCCTTTTAGCCTTGAAGCATGGCAAGCAGTAACCATAAAAATGATGGAAAAGAGTAAACACGGAGGCAGGAGACCATGCCTCCCATTTTTGTGCATCATTGTGGATATCATTGCACTTGTACCTTTTTTTTAAAAAGATTTTATTTATTTGGGGTGCCTGCGTGGCTCAGTAGGTTGAGCAGCTGCCTTCAGCTCAGGTCATGATCCCAGGGTCCTGGGATCGAGCCCCACATCCGGCTCCCTGCTCAGTGGAGAGCCTGCTTCTCCCTCTCCCTCTGCCTGCCACTCTGCCTACTTGTGCTCTCTAAAAAAATGTCAAATAAATAAATAAAATCTTTCAAAAAAAGATTTTATTTATTTGAGAGAGAGAGAGACAGATAGCCACAGAGAGCACAAGCAGGGAGGAGAGGGAGAAGCAGGGTCCCTGCCGAGCAGGAAGCCCCACGCTGGTCTCGATCCCAGGACCCTGGGATCATGACCTGAGCCAAAGGCAGACACTTAACCGACTGAGCCACCCAGGTGCCCCACTTTACTGTACCTTTCAGCATTTTGACTGCCACCTGGATTGAGACTCCAGTTTTACTAATTCCGTAAGCTGTTGCATTCATCACTTTTCCGAAAGCACCTGATCCCAGCACCTTCCCTGAAAGACAAATGGTGAGTGAGGACATGTTAGAGATTTTCCAATAGAAAGGAAATGCTACAGAAACATTGGAACTATTCAATTCTTACCAAATTCTAAATTTTCTCTTGGAAACTCCCATTTGAGATCATATTCATATTCTCTGAAATCAATGTAGAAGTACTCATTATCCAAAGAGCCGGTCACCTGTACCATTTGCAACTGGCTTTCATACCTAAATTGCTTCAGAGATGAAATAATGGGTCAATTAGCAACAGGCAGGCCCTTAGAAATGGGAAACAGGGATGGATTTTTACCTTTGCTTTTACCTTTTTGTACTTGTGACAAATGAGCATGGTTAGAACGGCAATGAAGGGAAGACAAAGCCCGACTGTTGCATAGAAGGAGATGTTGTCTTGGATGAAAGGGAAGGGCCCTGCAAGGCAAGAGTGTCACCGAGCAATGAACCTGTGTTCCTGGTTGATGGAGTAGATCTTATTATCGTCTCTCACCTCCTGTTTGAGAAACCATCATTTGCAGTTCTTGCAAGCACTTGACAGATACTCATTTCCCCACAGAAAATCAGGCAACGTTCATCTAAAGGACCAGTTCCCTTTCTAGATAATTTTGAATGATTTTGACCCCATTTTTACAAATCACTTCCTAGGGTTATAGGAATGACAAAAAAAAAAAAAAAAAGGATATATAAGTCAGATAAAAAAAAAAAAAAAAGAAGTCTGTGCTCTCCCGCTGAAGGTATCGTATGAATGGGAAGTTAGTTTTGGGATGCTGGTGATTCTCAACTCTCAGTGTAGGCGGGCGGGTTTCAGACTTGTTTAAATTAGGAGGCTTCTAAAAAAACAAACTCAAAAGTATAAAACAGCAGGCTAAAGGAACAGAAGGTGATCAACCAAGAGGTAAAATGGTAGGGACCCCAATTATTAAATCAGTTTCTCTGGAGTTGGATCTTTCGGTAGATACTTCCTGTTCTTGGGGTCTATGGTTCTACCTCCATCACTGTAACGTGTGAGTCACACTCACGTAGGGAGAAGTCACTCTGCCCCTGAATTACAAAATAGCATATGTTCAGTGGGGATTCTTGCCTGACTCAAAAAGCCTTCTTGTCTCACACACCGAACCTATGTGCTCTGGTGAAATTCCCCAAATAAAAGCCAATGACAGGGAAGGCCTTCTAGTGGGGAATTCCTGGAGGTGGTACATTACAATAGCGACTGCTGTCTACCTGATGAGTTTAAAAGGATTGTTTCACAAGATGTGCCAAGGGAATTGTAGGCACAGCACTTCACCAGGAATCCCTTCATGGCTTCACTCATGTTAAGGGTGCTGCTTGATATCCACTGTCCGAACACTTTTCTGTTAGCCTTTTTATTCCAAATTCCTTCTGTGATCTCCTCTGTGCAGCTGAAAAGAAATGGCAGACAGAGAGGTTAGGCAGGTGGGGCTGTCGTCAGATTAGAAGTTAGGGTTGGTCTCGGGAGGTTGGAAAGGGATTTCACTGTTGAAAGTTATCAGAAACACTCTGTGACCGTTGAGAATTATGGTTGACTCAGAAGGCAAACATTTTAAATACTTCATCATTTCTTCTTAAAGTGTATTCATGAGAAAGAGTCAATATGTCAGAGAGAGTGTGAGTTCTATGTTCTTCCAACACAAGAGACACCAATGTCCTCCTTACTTGGAAGACTTGTCTGAACACTTCTTCCAGGTCCAAGATGGTAAGGGGTAGCCATCAGAGGAACACGAAGCCTGACTTGCTGATGTCTTGGCTAGCACCTGAGGTTTCCCTGTAGAAAATAACACAAAAAATAAGCTCCTGTGGTATGGGACTTTCCAGAAACGGCTTCAGCGTTCGCTGCATCAAGGCTGCCTGTCCACTCCAAGCTGTTTGTGCCTCGGTGAGGGTGTCTCATACGCAGGATGACTCAAGCGCTCTGGTTATTCCCTTTCTGCCCCTTGTATGGAATTTTCTGTCCAGGCAACCCTACCACCCATCTGCGGAACATGACTTTTCCACTGCCAGGCCCCTCCTGTAGAGAGCAGAGGCATGCAAATCTATTACCTCCAAGAATCAAATTGATTCTTGGCTTCAGAAGAAACACCTACAAAAAGTCCAATGAAATGTACTCTCATCTTTTTATATCTTCTTCTTTTAAAGAAACAGAAATTACTAAGACAAACAAATGGCAGGCAATGTGACTTTTAGCTATTCCTTAACATGACCTTTCAAAGTATCAAGTCAATGAGACTACACTAAAGTGCGCTCAGAGAGGACATGGAAGAAGTATCTTAGCTTCAAAGGATGAACACAGAAAGAAATATCTATCTATCTATATATCTATTGATTGATAGATAGATCTATATATAAATAAAGCTGGTAGATTTGAAGTAAAATTTCAACATACTTCGGCATATAAAAATAGCTTATAGCATCCCTTCTAAGCCATTGCTTAGCTCTTTCTGGTAATAGTTAATACATAATGAAGGAGTTATAAAATGAAAATGAAATTTCTTGATGATTTAACTTACTTCTTATGTTCAACGTGAACATTTTTGTGAATTCGGCATCATCATTTTCTGCATGGAATATATATTCTCCTGGCTGGTGTTTATGGTTGCAAAACTTAGATATGCTGTTTGAAAAAGAATTAAAGATACACTTAGCCAGATTCTTATAGGAGATGCAGAAACGAATGTCGGCATGCATGGGAGTCTTCCTTGAGACGCTGACTCCCTAAAGTCCAGTAGGCAAAAAGGTGTCTGTATGCTAAACCCTTGCTAATCTAAGTGTGGTGTGGTCCACAGCCAGGTAACATCAGCATTGGCATTATCTAGGAGCTTGTTTGAAATACAAAATTTCAGGTCCCACCCCAAACCTTCTGACTGAGAGTCTGCATTTTAAGATGATCTCCACGTGATTCATATGCACATTAAAGGTTGAGAAGCACTCCTCTAGGCTGGGGTTCTTAAGAGAGACAAGAAGGTTCCTGCCCCTATTATTCTATATATCCTGGACTTGTCTGACTTCCCAGATATATGGAAGAACCACTTATAGGGACAGGAGCCCATAATCCCCCTGCTTCCTAAAAGGATGGCTCTCTGACATTGGTCCAATGCAGGACCTATAACCAACTCTCGACTTTTGTAGCAATTAACAGTGACGAGGGCTCAAATCCACTGAGTTTGTACAGAAATCTTTAGGTGGTTTCAGCAGGCTCTAGTATCTACTTGGAGTGCTCATCAACCACTCAATACATTTGGACATGGATAACTTGATATTGCGCATTAGCCACCATGCCTACCAGGTATACAGGATGCTGAATGTTATAGCAGGATATTGGATAGTGTAGGGGAGATGGGGGATCAAAGAGCTGTTGAATATGCCTTTATGCATTGAAGAAATAGGAAAAAATATTCCCTTAAAACAGAATAAGAAAATCTAAGGCTTGTTCAGAAGATATTTAATAGGCTACCTCTATATAATCTATTAACAGTAAATTATATGTATATATATATATAAAACCTATATAAATAAAATATATATAAATAAAACATATTGTCAGGGTAGAAGTGTAAACAGGAGAACACGGGGTGTGGAAACCAGACTTAAACTAGGAGCTATGTAGAATGCAAAGACCTACAAAATATGGCTCCTGTCCTCAAAGATATCATAAACCAGGTGGGCGGGTGGACAAAACCTCCATAGGTAGAATTAAACTAAAGGCCAATAGAAGATCAAAGAAGGCAGAGGAGGCCAATATAGATGAGAAACGTTCAGAGGTCTGCACAGAAGCAGGACTTGAGCTAGCTCTTTGCAGATGAGTTGGTTTTAAGGAGAGGGCAAAAGCAAAGCATCCAAGGGGGAGGCAAGCGCATTCTAGTGTGGCCACATGGAGAGGAGGGGGCAGCACAAGCTGAGATGTGGGAGAAAAGGCTGAACAGGTATGGTGGGACCAAGTGATCAGGGACCATGAGAAACAAGCCTCATTATTCAAAACTCATGGGGAAATCAGGAGAATGCTGTAGATTCCTGATCAGGAAAGGAATATCATGAGCAGCATTGTAGTTTAGACTGATGGCAGGAGGAAAAGTTTACTGGAGAGAAGTCTGGAGGTAGTTGCTGTAACACAGGAATTCATTCATTCGTTCATTCATTCTTTCATTCTACTATCAATGGTACAATCTACTCATTGGAGGAATCAAGGATACAACAATGAGGTACAAGAGGTAAGTTTCTGTTCTCACAGAATTTTCACGTTGATGGTGAAGGTAGACGAGCAGTTCCAGTAGGGTGTGGGAAGTCTGATGAGAGCAGAAGTAAAAGTTCAGATTTGAGAATTCAGAGCACGCAAAAACAAGTGCTGTCTAAGGTAGGGAAAATGGGAAAGGATTGGAAAGAGCAAACCCAAGAGGCACCAGGATAAAAGAACTAGCCCGTGTTGTGCTAGATATGGAAGAGGGAGAGAGCAGAATCCCTGTTGATCTCTAAGACTCAACACCCACATCAAGCAACTGACTGATAGACCTGCTTTGGAGCCCATGTTTATTTGACACCAGTGTTCTGTGCCCTTAACTCCGAAGCTAAGGGTAATTCTGACTTTGTATAGTGAGAAGGGAATTTATTTCTCTGGCCTATCAAAGTGAGCATTTAACAAGTTTTTTGTTTGCCCTGTTTGATTTGTTTGCCCTGTTAACGACAAGAAGGCTGAAGTAGAAAGTGGAATTTCTTATCCCGACCTACTTCTGGACAACAAGGAAATGGATGCTGAAGTGGCAGTGATGGAAAGATGGGGGAGCGCAACATTATAACACTAGGGAGAAAAGCAAATGTAGCTATTTGTGATTCCCGGACTTTAGGAAGGCAGAGTTTAAGTGGCCCAAGAAGGGAAAGATGTGTGCTTCTTAAAAGGGAAAACATTAATTCCCAATGGACAATAGTCAAAGACCCTATAAAGAAAGAGGAAAGGAGATTAAAAAGAAGCCAATGTGGCTGGCCATACACCCTGCCCAAAGCACCAATCAATTGGATTGAAGGAAAAACTACCCATACAGTTAGTGATTATCATGCAGACCAAAGCAAAATGTTTTGTAAACTTTTTCCCTCCTAAGTCTTTTGTGCTATCTTAATGGAGTATGATTTGCCATGGGATAGACAAGAGAGCATCTGAAATGTTCTCACTCTTCCAGGTAGGAAATGGGTCATCTAAGTAGCCTGAACACAAAACCAAATACCCAGCTCATTTTAGACTGCTTGGGCCCCCCTCCCAGCCCTTTGATGACAGTTAACCCTAGCAAGAGCAACAACTGTGTCACTGAACCTCCTCTGGGAATTCCAAGGGGACTAACCAATGAGGTGATCTGGAGATTCAAAGCTTCCTCTTTCCCCTTAGGGTTTTTCTAAAAATGGCAAGCTGGCATGAGACAGGAGATCAGGACGTTGGAGTTTACAGTGAAAGAGTATCTTGGTGACTAAGCTGATGGGATTGGAGGTGGCTTTCCTCAGCACCGAGTGCTAGCCATCTGATGAGGAAGCCAGCGATTCTGTCTCCTGCAGACTGCACCTGCGGCGGGGCTGGGGGAACACGGCCAGGCTGAAGTTGAATCTGGTCTGTTCCAACTTCTGCCTCGAGTTAGATAAAGATAGTCAGGAGGTGGGAGGAAGGTGATGATGATTTCATATGACTCTATATAATAATACCCTGCTCATTTTTATTTTATTTCAGGGGAGTCAGCAAGCCTGGAGCGATAGAACCATTAAGCACTGAGCAGCAAAGCGTTGCATGGTACAGCTCATCAGGAGGCACACTTTATTTCTAAATAACCAACGAAAATGCTTGCATTGCTTGCATTTTTGTTTTCTTGCACATTGGGTTTGGGACTTCTACACTTTTGAAATGACTTGGTGTCCAGAGCCAGTATAGTGAGATGGTTAAAAACGTAGGCTCTGAATCCTAGGTTGCTGGAATCCCAGCTCTGCATTGCCCAGTGGTGTGACCTTGGGCAAGTCACTTAACCTCTCTATACCTCCTCGTCTGTAAAATGAAGACAGTAGTAGTATTGACCTCATATGGTTGTGGGAGAACACTGTATTAAATTTTTATTAAGTAGTTTTGTATGACATGTCTGTAATGGTGCCCAGCTCCTATATTGAACACAATATATGTGTTAGATTATCATTACTAGAAGGCTTATTAAGTCCAGTAATCATTTTGAATATAAAAGAAATTTAGAAACTTTACTGTGGCATGTACTCTAAGTGAGAAAATCACATTAAAGCCAAAAGAAAGATGCAAAGAAAAAAAAAACCTAAAGTAAATGCCCATCAACAGGAGTCAGTTAAAATAAAATGGCCTAAAAAGCAGAATACTATGCAGCCATTAAGATGATAATGTAAATAGGGTAAGATATAATATACTTAGTACCATGGAGAGATGCTCACAACATATTTTAAATAAAAAAATCAGGTTACAAATGGCAAAATTAATGTCATATTTGTATAAAAAACCTGTATTTATATGTTCCTATCATGGTGGTTACATAGAAAGAGCCTGAAATATAATTTTTTTAGGTAGAGATATTGGTGTTATTTCTATTTTTTTAAAAGGTAATTTCAGAAAACAGGAGTAAAAGAAGGGTACTGATTTTGCCCCAGGCGGGCAAGTAATAGCCTGCTTCCGTCTTTCAAAAAATGGAATTATAGGTATTAAACGAGATAATCCACATAAAGGATGTGCACATTGTCTGGTATGTGGTCAGAGTTTAAAGAAGTTTCTTTTGCTTTCAGTGAGCAGGGTCTTTGGGAGAAAAGGAACAGCCCCGTTGCCCCCAAACAGCAGCAGGGAAGGGGGGCAGGGTTTGCTGGGGGCTCTCGGTGCTTCACTGAACCCACACAACATTTCCCTCCTTTCTATATTCGTTCAAGGCCCATCTCTTTCCAGAAAAAAGAAAATCCTTCCAAAGAGGCTTAATACACTTCTGCAATTACATATCATTTATTGACTTGAGAGCCTGTTTTTCTGTTAGTGTGTTCTCGAGAAGGACAGCATCTTACGGCCCAGAACTCACATGACCACCACACTGCTGTTTCCCGTAAGCACTCAGTTAATGCTCGGTGTGTGCAGAACTCCAGGCTACTAGAGGTGGAAAATGAAATACTCCAGGGAAAAGAAAAACACAGGGATCGGGCAAGCTAAGGACAGTCTTTCAGAAGGAATTTTTTTATAATTCTAACATCTTAAGGTTTGGGTTTTTTTGTTTGTTTGTTTGTTTGTTTTTAACCAAGAAACTGGGAAAAGCTAAGGTAGATTCAGCATTCATAAGTAAGTCTAGGGGGACAGGAAATTATGCAAAACAACAGATGAATATCCTAGGACCTCTTCGCGAAATCAAGATATCAGGACTGCTAGAGAATTACAGTGGAATAAAATGTAAACACAGAAAGGCAAGCCCTCACACTTGGGGTGTGAGGTTTGAGGAAGTAAATAGGAGAAACGAAGCTGTGAAGGTGGGGAAGCTGACAGACTTCTGGCACAGACACTATGACCACACCATAGCCTTTTTTTCACGAGGAAGGTTCCTACAGAGGCCTTTCAGTTACAGCTACAAAAGCTCATGTCACTTTGCCTATAAAGCCATCTGTTGCAACATGATTAAAATACAGTCCTTCACAAACAAATTTCAGTTTGGTTAAACCTTTGAACATAAGTGGTAAGGAAAAGGATGCTCACTGTACGATTCTTTTATCTTATTAGTAAATTGGAAAGAGCTCAGATTATAATGGAGTCTGCTGTCTCAACACAGAGCCTGGTGTGGAGAGCAAAAGACATTCAGGGCACTCACTGGAAGCTACGTTTAGATTTTTCGTTATTCATTTTTTGTTCAGTATTTTGAGCATCTTTTTCACGAAGAAGGAGGCTCCATTTTCCCTTTGTGTTGCATATTACGTGATGCATATGGTGCTGCATGATATCCGGTGCACCATTATCACTGCCAAACACTGTACCCAGTGCATCAGTATCACCAACAAATCCTGCAGCTCTTCAAGGACTTTTAAATAAAATAAACTCTTAGTGTTGCGCGTTGTGTGAGTGTCTTGTGTGTGGTCCTTGCAGGGCACAGAGGAAACCACTGACTCATTCTGGCCCAGGCGATGCATCAACACTTCCAGGGGTAATGATGAATTCATTCATTTATTAAATACACATTGTCTCAACAAGGTATTGTATAAAGATAGAGGAATGACAGAGTGCCCCTCTGGGGGAGCTGATAAACTCACTGGTGAGATTCAACACACAAAGACGTTAACTATATTACCAGGTAATTATGAATGGAAGAGGCACAGAACACTATAAGAATCAGGATCTATCCTGATTTATTCATTTGGCTACCTCTACAGGTTAACTGCTTGGGGTCCAGGGTAGAGACTGTGACCACGGAATGAAACGGAATTCACCAGCCCATTAGATTGGTCTGTGACCTGTATATCAGAGACATGGCCCTCTAAACAGTGATTCTGTAAAAACTCAAGAGTTTGTGCCAGAATTCAGCAGCAAAGGAGCAATGAATTATCTCCCAGGTGCCTCTTGCCTTTGAATGTACCTGTCTAATTTTGTGGGGGGGTGGGGAGAGAGAAAGAGACATTACCTTATTCATTCTTGTATACCCTCACAGCATCAAGCCCATCAAGAAGATATTTAGGGAGTATTTGTTGAATTAAATCGAATTGATCCTCTAGCTCTTTGGATCAGGATCAAAAGAGAATCCCATAACACTAAGAGCTTCTCTGACACGGGGTCACAATACAAAGAAAGGAGTGGATGTTGATACCACTGATACCCATCTCAACTCAGGCCTGTGGCAGTCAAGTCAGTAGAAAGACAGGGGCTGACTCCCTGGCCGCCTACTCTCAAAAGTTTGATAATTCAGAATAAGAGCTTATGACAACAGGGTGATTATTCTGAGGCAGTGGTTCTCAACCCTGGGCAATTTTTCCAAACCAGGGACATTTGGCAATGTCTAGAGATATTTTTGGTTGTCACAACTGGGGATGGAATTGCTACTGACATCCAGTGGGTGGAGGCCAGGGATGCTGCTAAACATCATACAATGCAAAGGACAGGCCCCAGAACAAAGAATTATTCAGCCCAAGATGTCAATAGTTTGTTTTTGAGAAACCCTGATTCAGGGAAGTGGGTATCAGTCAGCTCACAGGTCAAAGATTGTGTTCTTAATTAACTGAAAAGTGAATGCTTTGAACATTAAGAGGTTAGGAAAAGAGAGGAAAGAGGGTTCCATGCGAACTCTGCATTACAGCCTTTTAAAAAATGCAAACAAGGGGCGCCTGGGTGGCTCAGTTGGTTAAGCGACTGCCTTCGGCTCAGGTCATGATCCTGGAATCCCGGGATCGAGTCCCGCATCAGGCTCCCTGCTCGGCGAGGAGCCTGCTTCTCCCTCTGACCCTCTCCCCTCTCATGTGCTCTCTCTCTCAAATAAATAAATCTTTAAAAAAATAAAATAAAATAAAATAAATAAAAAATAAAAAATGCAAACAAGGATCAGTTATAAATAATTTTGGGGTATGAAGAACAGCACATCAATTGTGAAACAGAGAAGAATCCAGGTTAAAAAAAAAATAACCCAACTCTTCCCCTTCATTGGGACCAATGCTATCTAAGAGAAACAGAATGCAAGCCATATAGGTAACTTAAAATTTTCCAGTTAGCTATAAAAAAGAAAAATAAGTAAAAACTAATCATTGGCTTTATTTAACTCGATATATCCAAAATACTATAATTTAACATATAATCAGCATAAAAATTGAGATATTTTACAGTCCTTTTTTTCACACTAAGTCTTCAAAATCTAGTGTGTATTTTACAATTATGGCACATCTCAATCTGGACTAGCCCATTTCAAGTACTCAATAGCCATCGTGGCTGGTAGCTACTGTCCTGCAACACACGGATCGAGACCCGTGATAGGAATCACCAGAGGGGATGAAAAATGTAGAATCTGGGCATTTTGCTCCAGTTGTTGAGCATGTCTAGGATGGGAGCCAGGAATCCACATTTTTAACATTTGCCCAGATGATTCCTACAGAAATGGTTTATGGACCACATGTCAAGAAACGATTTATTCTAGACCACTGAGTTGCCTGAGAGACGACAAGTGCCTTTCAGGTGCTCAGAGTCTAGCATGAAATCATGTCACACAGGACTACGTTTAAGAGATAAGAGGTGTCATAGCTATAGAAAATACAAGAAAAAAAGTTGTTTTCTGTTTTCCAAAGAAGGAACAAAGAGTTTCTCCCATGAAACAATCTTGAACACAGCTATACAAATGCAATTTTCCTTCACCATTTATTCTGAGGCCATTTTTGCATTTATAATTTTGAAAAGTTAAATCAATACACTTATAGGTAATGTTTTGCTGTTTTTAAAGGGGTTTTACTTCCTCAATCATCTGCATATGTGCTGAGGGAGATTCAGTATACTAAAGCACAGTACTCTCAAATAGGAAGTAACAATCTAGTGACTCAGAAAATGCCACGGAACCATACTCAAACTAATAGGATTCTTTGTTTTTTTGTGCAGTAGGTTACACCATCTGAACTGATTATAAGTCTAGTACGATGGCCTCATCTCTGCTTTTTCTTGCCTCATCTTCTACGTCAACTCAATAATATATAAACTTGTAATACAAAACTGCTCTTCTGGGGGCAAGAAGGAGGGTTGCACTAAGCCAGTCGAGCCCCTGAGCTCTTTGTTGGCTCACCTGTACCCATCATCAAGGCCACTTTGCTCACAAGGAAACGATTTTTGAGAGAAGGTCCATGTACATCTGATTTGTGGGTATGCTTTAAACCTGACAGAAAAACAAAACTCTTCATACTGGTCAATCTCATAATCTTCACTAAAAAAAAAAAAAAAAATAAATCCCTTTTCTGTAAAAAAAAAAAAAAAAGTACATTTATAAATTAGATGGGATCCATATGGACATACATTGAAAAGATACAATAAATTTTTATTCATCAGTTTGACATAAGAAAACTCAGATGTGGGCATGCCGCAGGTCAGAATTGATAGTCCGACAAGAAATACAGGAGTCCTATCCCCAGTTATAAGCCTGGGTTCCTCACCTTCTACAGTCAAGATTCCTCTAAGAATTGGATATGAATAATTAATTGACTCCCTTCCCAAAGAAATGTATATAAATCAACCTCCAGATTTTGTGGACAATTTCAAGAGATCGAAGGGTTCCCCCTGCCCAGCCAAGCATGTACATGAGGGGGGATCGACTGGCAGAATTTGGAAGCCCTTTGCTGAGTGAAAACAGCCCTCTTGGTGAGTGACACGTCCCACATAAAATCATCTCGGGCACAAATAAAACAATCTAGCCAGCAGTATTCACCAGGTTTCTTTATGAAGCACTTCCTTATTAGTTTGGTATGTGAATCACCTCATTTCCTAGCATTCTCAGTATGGCTGGAGGCTGCCACCTGATCTGAGATTACCAAAGCATGGTTATTTTCCAATCCTACACAGCCCACCCAATTTCCGTGCGTCTAAGTGCTTGTCCCTTCTCTCTGTCATTGCTCATAACCCTCGGTTCTCAGAACAAGTGTTTATTAGGTGCCTATTTTGTGTCAGGCTCTCTGCCAGGTTCTGGGACCACAAAGATAGAAGGGATTATTCCTGTCCTTCGGAAACTTAGAGTCTATTGGCAGACAAACATTCACAAACAGATGGTTACATTATAATGACAGTGCAAAGACAGTGGCATTCAAGCAAGCACGGTTTTAAGTGGAAAAGGAAGGGTGCAGGCAGCTTCTACTTTTTACAAAACTATTCTATGTCAGTTTCGTTCTCAGCTTTTTGACACGAACGTAAACTGATATCCGAATTTGCAGTACATACCTCACACTCCACACTAAAGGAACTAAAAGGATGAATAGAGATTGCATGAGCGGCCTGCATTACCTATGATGGTAACCAAAGCTGATTTACTGGGATGTTCTGAAGAGGAGCAAGTGTAATAGCCAGTGTCGTTTCTTCCCACTGATGATACAAAAGCAAACAGAATCCGTATCATAGTTCTGTTTGTGGAATAGGTACTCATCTCAAAGTAGCTGCCCTAGATTTTAATAAAACAGAGTTTGAATTTAATGACTTCAACCCATACTATTCGGTCGTTGTGTCTGCAGTTTCAGAATGCAAACTTGTCATCTTACCTCCTCCAGTGCTTTATTTTCTAGCTCCCAGCTGAGTCCGAATCCATGGTTTACATGAACAGCTTTGCACCTTATCCATAAGGGTTCGCCTACTTTCAGAAACAACTGTGGCGGTGTGGTCTGAGGCGTTTGATTTAGATCTGGAAGGAGGAAAACATCCCGAGTGAGAAAACAAGGTGATTTATTTTTTCCCTCAATGCAAAATACATGCCGAACATTCTGAAGACCAAAGATTTTACTGTCATCTCAAATGTTACGAGCTGCTTGGATAGAAGAATCCTTTAGAGACTGTCTACCCTTTCATAAAGGAATCAGCAGTTCTGAATCCCAAATATTCTAAGTGGCATAAAGAACTATGGGAGCGCTGTGAATTGTGCAAGACTGTTGAATCACAGATCTGTACCTCTGAAACAAATAATGCAATATATGTTAAGAAAAAAAAAAAAGAAGAAGAAGATAGCAGGAGGGGAAGAATGAACGGAGGTAAGTCGGTGGGGGGAGACGAACCATGAGAGACAATGGACTCTGAAAAACAAACTGAGGGTTCTAGAGGGGAGGGGGTGGAGGGATGGGTTAGCCTGGTGATGGGTATAAAAGAGGGCACATTCTGCGTAGAGCACTGGGTGTTATATGCAAACAATGAATCATGGAACACTACATCAAAAACTAATGATGTAATGTATGGTGATTAACATAACAATAAAAAATTAAAAAAAAAAAAAAAGAACTATGGCAGCTCTGAAGGTGAATGATGACCTAAGCAGTCACTGTCCGCCTCGGGTTTTTCCTAAGGAATAGTCACTGGAAAGAGAAGAACCCCGCGTCGTGGTCCTACCTATTGTGAACAGCTTGGTACACTCCCTGCCCAGCTCGTTTCTTGCGCAGCACCTTATATCTGTTCCAAACAGTTCATGAAGTACACTTTCCTCCTTTGTAACAACAACTGGACTCTCCCCTTTACAGCTGCAATTAGAAAAAAAAAGAGGCTTCTGACCAAACACCTTTTAAAATTACAAATGAAAGTGAAGGAGAAAAATAAAGTGAAAGGTTTTAGAGCTGGTTAAGAGAAAGGAACGGGTCAAAAGGTAAATAAACCCAAATCTACTAAGATTTCTAGAAAAAAAATATCTCAACCAATTAGAGTAACACTAAAAAAAAGAAAAGAAAGAAAGACACTAGACAGAATTACATATTTTTTTCTTCTTTTTTTTTTTTTTTGGTGAGCTCTACCCTCAATGTGGGGCTGGAACTCACCATAGGAGATCAAGAGTCCCACACTCTCCCCACTGAGCCAGCCAGGAACCCCAAATTACATAAATTTTTATGTAAGTTTAAACTTGGGGGGCTTTGGTGACCTCTTTTGTTGTTGTTTAGCGAGAGAAAGAATGGAGAAAGAAGACAGAAAGAGGGAAAAAAGGCAAGAGAAAAGGAAAAGCACCATTAGGTTTCAATACGGCCTAACAAAGGTGGGTATCTTCTTTCAAGCCCAGAAGAGGACTTTGAGGGAAAGGAAGAGAGAAGAAAGTTGCCGAAGTCAACCGTCCGCAGAGCTCCCGGGGAAGAGGAGAGGCGTGACTCAGGAGGGAAGTCGGCGGGTCTCGGGACCTCACACGGTACCCCTCACCACCACCCGTCCACCCTCCCACGCTTCCTCAGACCCTCATCCCTCCTCAGCCCCCCACCCTCACCTCTTCATCCCCACCGCCACGCCGCCCACCCTCCTGCCCCCACTCCACCCCCTCACGACCGCCACCCGCGCCCCCACCCCCTCAGCCCCCCCCCCCCAGGCCCCCGCAACCTCCCTCGCCCCCCCTCACCTCCTCATCCCTACCCCCCCGCCCTCACACCCCCTTCTCAGCATAAGGCAGACTTGGATTCCTCCCTGAGTTTCCCTAACCGCTGCCTTTCCGAAAGCAGGCTTTTGGAGCCTTCTCTCCCCCTTACCACTTGAGTCAAATGCATTCTTTTATTTGTTGACATATCGTTCCTTCAGGGTATTTTTTTCTTATTGTAAGACAACAAAAAAAAAAATCTTGTAGAAATTTCGGAAAATACAAAAAAAAACCCAAAGAAAAGAATTTTGAATTGTCCATATTCCTACCACCCTGAGATAACAACTATTATTATTTTGGGGTGTAGATTGCCCATCTTTCCCCCCCCCCCCATGCACAGGTTACATATGTATCTACAGGTAATCTCTTCTTTTTCCTCTAAAATTTGTGATCACATTCGTATCATTTGGTAACCTAACTTTTTACTAGTTTTTCTCCTTCTTAGTCCCATTTTTCATTAAGTTCTTTAGTAAATTTTTATTCAAGCTGCATGAATTCTCACTTTGTGAGAACTTAGCTATGGCACGTGTGAAAAACAAAAGTAAACATTTATGTGGTATTATCTGCCAGGCGCCAGCCATTTGATAAGCCTCACATGTATCCATTCATTTCATCACTATAGCATAAGGTAAGTTCTTTTCCCATTCCCATTCTTCTGATGAGCCAATTGATGCATACAGTATGATGTCAGCTATATTAGAAAAAGACCAAAAAGTAAAGCTATAATAGCAATTACCTCTATAAAACGTCATACCTTTCACTCTGTGAATCGCAGAACACCCATTCCACGGTCGGTTCTGGAACGCTCTCAGATATGCAGACCAGGGCATCCTGATTTTCCATTTTTCTAAAGTAAGGTCTCCTTAATGTGTAAAGCAGTGTATCTAGAGCATCATAAATTAGTAACATTTTCATATTTTAAAACTAATTGTCTTAGCAGCCCCCTCAAAAAAAGAATTCTACGTCATTAAGGAAAGTTACATATTTTATACCATAGCAGCATCTTCTGCTCCCCTCCAAATGTATACAATAATACATCCCCTCCTTTCCAATAGATTAAATTCAACTCTGGCTGAAATGCCAACTTTAGCATTTGTCCTCTTAGCTAATTTCTTGGGGTGTTTCCTAGACCTACAGACAACTAAAGTTAAGTGGAGTGAGGTCATGTAAAAATACAAATAGTGATTTGCATAAGAAAAAGAAAACTAGAAATCACATGAAGTTTAAAGCCCATATCTTGAAGACCCAACTTTCTTCCCATGACTTTATCTAGAACTAGGGAGAAATATACTGACTTAAAAACACAGAAATACAGTAGGATAGAGTTAGAATTGGAACAGAATCGAGAGGTTCAGTTTGGCTTCCCATTCTTTTTGGACCAACATACCTCCCCCCTCCCCTCATCCTCTGCTCCCCACAATGCTTAACATACAAACTTTCTACTTCTGCGTGGACCCCTCTAGCGACAGGAGTTCACTACCTCCCAGGGTAGATCATTCCATTTTTCAAGAAACCTTTTCCTTTAAAAGAAATTTTCCCTGTTCTAAATTCCAATCTCTGGCCTTATAATACATTTGTTTAAAAATATTATGTAATACATATATATATATATATATGTGTGTATATGCACACAAAAGAATATATGAAGTGTAAAGTTTGAAGCACAATATAAACGCAAATGCCCATAGACCCATTTCCAACTTAGTAACTGGAATATTAATATCTTCAAATCTACTTTTATGCTCCCACCATCTCAACCCTAGGTAACCTTTAACCTGAATTTTGTGTTTATCATTCCTGTGCTTTTAAAAATATTTTCACCACATAGATGTGTGTCCCCAAACAATATATTGGTTTGCTTTGTTTGTTTCTGATCTTCAAAATATGGTATCCCTCAATACGTAGTCTTCCATAACTTCATTTTCTCATCCAACCTTATGTGGTCGATTCATCCATGGTTTTGCATGTAGCTATATACTACATACATTTTTTTACCGCTACATAGTGTTCCATCAGTGAACATATTACCATCTATTACTCCATTTTCTTGCAGTGGACATTTAGCTTGTTACCAGTCTGTTGTATTTAACAACAATGGTGCTATGAACATTCTGTACATTTCTACTGAGGTAGGTGTGTAAGTTTCTTTAATAATACACCCAGGAGGGGAACTGCTGGTTTGTATGATATGAGCACATTCTGCTTTACACATAACGATAATCTGCTTTCCAAAGGGGTTGTGCTAATTTAACTTATGCAGCAGGACATGAGATTTCCTGTTGCTCTGTATACTCACCAAGTATACAAGACTTCTTAATTTTCAACAGTCTAGTGGGTATAAAATAGTATCTCAGTGGTCTTTTTTTTAAAGATTTTATTTATTTATTTGACAGAAAGAGACACAGAGAGAGAGGGAACACAAGCAGGGGGAGTGGGAGAGGGAGAAGCAGGCTCCCCGCTGAGCAGGGAACCCGATGCAGGGTCCATCCCAGGACCCCGGGATCATGACCTGAGCCAAAGGCAGACGCTTAACCGACTGAGCCCCCCAAGCTCCCCTCTCAGTGTGGTCTTAACTTGGTTTTCTCAGTTATTATTTTAACATATTTGTTGACCATTTAGTTTTCATGTTCTGAAAGTGAAATGCCCACTTGTCTTTTGTTCATTTTTCTGTTTTTTTCTTATTGATTTATAGAAGCTCTTATCTCCTATTATGATTATTAATCCTTTGTTGATTAAGTGAATTGCAAATATCTTTTCTCATTTTGTGGTGGTTTTTATTCTTTCCTGCAATTTCTGACCATTGGTCCCAATTCTACCCTCTAGAGCATTTTTTTTAGGTGTAGCTTTATTTCCACATGAAAATCTTTCAGATATTGAAAATCAGAAACAAAGGTCAGGGAGATAATTACTGTCCAAAGTATTTTATTTTTAATATTTTTTTTAAAGATTTTATTTATTTATCTATTGGGGGGGGGAGAGAGAGATGGAGAGAGCACAAGCGGGGTGAGGGAGAGGGACAAGCAGACTCTGAGCTGAACGTGCAGCCCAAGATCCCGAGATCATGATCCAAGCTGAAACCCAAGAGTCAGTCACCTAACCAACTGAGCCATCCAGGCACCCCCCCCATCCAAGGTATTTTAACTAGTTAGGCCAGGTTCCTTGACTCATATGCCAGAAAAATACATTACAATACACTGCCATCAGTCTCCTCCCTTCAAAATATTTCCTTCTCTGTGCTAAACATTCTCAAGTTCTTCAGCTGTTTGAATTTAAGAAATTCCAAGTTCTTCACTATCTGGTTGCTCTGTTTCGTCAATATCCGTCTGAGAAGAATAATCATCCATTCATTTCCTGAACCTAGCCATTCCATTCTTTTTTTTTTTTTTCTGCCAAGGTTCAGCTTTCCTTTTTTTTTTTTTAGCAACCAGGCCTTAACTGCTGGTTACTGCTAAACCTGTGGTTTGCTAGTAAACCCTTTCCTCTTTTTCACATTGACTGTTGCCGAGACTCCCCCATCTGATTTTTTTTTTAACCTCACCACCCAGAATGCTAAAAGCACGTTACAATTTACTTGAATAGTTGTTGTCATATTTTTACACTATAAATCTTAAGTGAAAAGAAGATACCTTACATAAAAAAAAGACGACAACAGACACCACTTATCTGAAAAAAAGAAAGAGAGCAAGCAAGGAATCTCTGATTCCCTTCCAACCTGAAGCACACAGACTCGCCGTCCCACAGAGTGGGGTCAGGTACTGAGGAGGGGACAGGGAACAAGACCAAAATCAAAGAGAAACAAATGGTACCTCTTGATTTTTGAGCTTCTGGGCCTCTGGTCCTATAAATTTCAGAGTAAACTGAAGGGCTTTTCAGAAATTTTGATAAAGTTTGACTTTACCAGATTTTTTGCCTTACAGGCCGATTTTAGAAACCTACCACCCCAGCCCGGCCCCAGTTAAGATGATAACTTCTGGGAATCTAAATGGCCACAGGTGCTCTTTCTGTTAGCAACTACGACCACAAGCCCCAGTGCAGTGTGGTGCAGACCGCGTAGACCTGGCCTCTAGTGGTACCCACCCAGTGTGTCCGTTTTCCCACCCGCGTGAAGGTGGGATTGCTGTGAGGCAATGTGATGGTACGTGCGGCATCCCCCTCAGCAAAGATGGTCCATGCGGAACACCGTCCATGGCTGTCCCTGAGCCAGGGCACCTCCGTGGGCTGGACGCTCAGGCACCATGCCCTGGCTTTGTGCCTTCAAGTCGCTGACAAGGAAGAGGGGGCCTAGTACTCAGGTGTGGCCAGGAAACTAATTTAAAATGGCATAGGGGCGCCTGGGTGGCTCAGTCGGTTAAGCGTCTGCCTTTGGCTCAGGTCATGATCCCAGGGTCCTGGGATCGAGTCCCGCATCGGGCTCCCTGCTCAGCGGAGAGCCTGCTTCTCCCTCTCCCTCTGCCTGCCACTCCCCCTGCTTGTGCTCTCTCTCTCTTTCTCAAATAAATAAATAAAATCTTAAAAAATAGATAAATTAAAATAAAATAAAATGGCATAAACCAGAGTTTTGGGAGCACTGCCTTGGTCTTTAAAGGCAGTAGGATGTATATGAAGGCACCTACCTCTAGTCCCTGCATGTCATGTGAGGTGAAGTGTTCAGTGTATACCGTGCTGAGTCTGTGCAATTGCTAGGACTGCGCAAAACTGGGAGGAAACAAGAAGCCAGAGGGCACATGCATGTGATGATTCTGCCAACCGCACAGTTGCCTCCGTGGATAAGAACATTTGCATTGTTCCTGGCAGTTTGCGTAATGATCTAGCATTCATATAAATCAAGTATCCACGAGCTCCATGTGGTTATTTAAGTTTAATTTTTAACTTCCTTTTTTTTTTTTTAAGGTTTTATTTATTTATTTGACAGAGAGAGACACAGCGAGAGAAGGAACACAAGCAGGGGGAGTGGGAGAGGGAGAAGCAGGCTTCCTGCCGAGCAGGGAGCCTGATGCGGGGCTCGATCCCAGGACCCTGGGATCATGACCTGAGCCGAAGGCAGATGCTTAACGCCTGAGCCACCCAGACGCCCCTAATTTTTAACTTCTTAACATGAATAAAGTTAACACTGTGGTCCTCAGTCACACTGGCCACATGCAAGTGTTCAATAGCAACATGTGGCTAGCGACCACCTTGTTAGAGCAGACATGGACATTTTCAAATCTCAGAGAGCTCTAGCGGATGGTGCGAAGATCTTGCAATCCCGTGAGGTATGTATTTTTATCCCCATTTTACAGATAGGAAATTTGAGGTTCAGAGAGATTAAGCGACCTGCCAAAGGTGGTGGGAACAGATCCAGAATAAGAACCCAGGACTTCTAACTCCAAGGTCAAGGTCAAAATGTTTTCCATTTCTTCCCTGTCAGTCATGTCACTGAAAAAATGGGGGTTGGGGAGGGCTGAACAGAGAGTGTCCTGGGTTTTCAAGAGTGCTCATTCTGAGAGTCCATGGGTTATGCCAGAGAGTGTCAATGGGTTATATGGATGGTTGAAGTGAATTCAATCCATTCAACTGCATATTGAGGGAAACCTGTGTCCTCAGCAGCTGGTAAAATGGAATACTGAGTAGCAAGGTGCACTTACTTCTTATACTCACTGTAAACAATATTGTGTAATTAATAGCTTCACTCTGAATGAAAAGTAGGTATTCTCCAGCTTGGGTTTCTGTCATTTTCAAAATGACCATGGAAACAACTCCTCTGAAAAAAAAAAAAAACAAGAAAGAGAACTGGTTACTTTGGAAAACATGTGAAACTAAAACATAAAATTTCATCCTGAGTCAGCGGGCGGCTCAGGGGGCCCCCACGTTCCATCTCTGACTGTGGCACAGGGGGCTAGCAGCTTCCCCTCTGCCGGAGCCTGGTTAGTTTGACTCTGACTTAATCCAAGCCCTCCCTTCAGAGTGAGTGACCTCCATTCCAGCACCTTCACCTCATGCTTCTCGGGCCTCTGGGGGGGTGGATCTCCCATCCCAAAATGGGGGTACACTCCCACCAGGCTTGGGGGTACATTCCCACCAGTAGTAACGGACCGTTCCCCTCAATGACAAGCACCTCCACAGTTAATGTTGCTCAGTCACCTGGCCACCAGTCTCAGTTCCCCACTTGCGGACCCAGACGACTGTATGAGCAAGATATACAGAGATAAGGAACATTCTGTTTTGTGTGACTCTCTCTGTAGATGAAAGAATTCAAGCAAAATCTAACACAAGGCATTATCCTATGTGAAGGAGAAAATCACATATATGTAAGGAGAAAGATGGCTCAGTGTTTGGCCTTTAACTTTTTAGATACCCGATAGAGATAAATTTGGCTGGGAGCCATCTTTTCCAAGAAACAACTTCGATGTGTTCGGTGATACCTGTTCTCATTAAAGCTTACAATATTCTCTAATAGTTTGTTGAGTAATGTTGGGTGTGAATTTACACTTCCTGACCTTTAGATGCTCATTACTCAGAGTGTAGAATTTCTCCAAGTCTTAGCCTAAGCTGACTGTTGACTGATACGCAGACTCTCAGGCCCTGCCCAGACCCACTGAATCAAGGATCAGCATTTGAACAAGGTCCCCAGGCAATCCAAGTGCACATTATATCAGAGACGCCCGCCCTGCCCTGCCCTGCCGTAGAGCTCTAAGCTGCTTGGTTCGAGAATACTTGTGCTTGCGTTCATACTGACAATACGTTAATAGGATATGTATTTGATTTCTGCCTGCAGATATTCTGGTGATGTGCTTTCTTTCTCTGAACCATTTGTTCTCCTGGTATCATTTGTGAACACTTAATGCATATCATACACAACTGGAAGACAGTGATCAAAGCCTAGGTGTTCAAGCTTTCTGGCCATGAGTCCAGAGCTAAATTTCTGTAATTCTCTACCGTGGACAAGCTGCTCAATAGTTTTGGTACTAAGTTAACTAATCCACATAAGACCTATAACGTGGACTAACAAATGGGACCGTCGGCCCTAAATCAAAGAAGGCAACCTCTCACGGAATGACAAGAACCCTACATTTGCTTTTTGGTCTCAATCCAGGGAGAACTGTTGTGGCATAAAATTTTAATAAGATTACCAGAACATTACTTTAAGCCAAAATTTTTAAAAGAAGAGTGCTTTGGTTTAACCCTAAGGTACAAATAACCAAAAAACAGAAGTGAGTAATACAGTCTCAAAAGAGGAAAGGAAAATGAATGTGTTCCAAGATTTAGAACCAAACTTCAGAATTATAGCCACTGTCCTAAAAATTACTTATGAGTTTGTTTGACCTGAAAGAAACAAATGCAAACAATTTGGTACAGGTCAGTCACAGAGATGTCCCCCCCATACCTCAGTCAGGCAGGATACCCCCTGTTACGCCATTTGGGTACCACTTACTGCACTGTTCCTGGAAAGACAGAACCTCTTCTACACCCTGGGGCACCAGAACACCCCCAAGAACTGGAGAGAAAAGTAGCCTTAGAATTATCGAGTGGGCATTTGAATGACTTGTGCCTCTTTCTTCCTACCCCTATCTGGTCTCAGCAAGAGGGACCGAGGCAGCAGGGGGCAGCAATCAGCACAGAGTTACATACAGACTTGGCCGTTCCATCATAATTCTCGGCTAAGATATTTTTCTGGATCATGAGACCCATGTTCCTCATACCTAGATCAATTTCTTACTAAAACACTTCGTGGATGTCACCGGCAATTCTGCTCATCGTGTTGTGAAACAAAAGAGATTAAAACCAAATGTTCTTTCCCCAGGCATTTCCCAGAAAGAAGCTTCTGGCTACTTGAAGTAGAAAGTAATGGACATTTTCTAACTTTTTATCTTTAAGACAAGATCCAATTAAAAAAACAAGACACTGCAAAAATCCCAAATATTCTTTCACTGTTTGTTTTACATTTTTCCAGCCATTCACTGCCTTCTTAGGCCCTAACTACATCTATATGTAATTTTTTAAGTTCATAGGCTTTATTTTACAGAGTAATTTTAGATTTATGGAAAAATTGAGTGGAAAGTACAGAGGGATCCCACATATGTTCCCCCCCAACACACACACACACATACACACATACACAGTTTTCCCTATTATTAACATCTTGCCTAGGTGTGGTATATTTGTTACCATTGGTGAATCAACACTGGTACTAACTCAAGTTCATAGTTTACACTAGAGTTCACTTTCTGTGTTATACATGCTATAGGTTTGATAAATACATAATGCCATGTATTCATGCCCTAACTATATTTTTAGTTCATTATTTCACTGGAGATAAGAGTTACGATGGCTATGGATAGACATTTGAAAAGAAACTCCATATGAACTACATTCAATGCAAGGAAGTTTTCCTCCCAAAATCCTTGTGGGTGCTTCCCCTTCCCCCTCCCGCCCCCCACTTACCTGTTTTGTAAATCAAAGTGTGGCTGGCAATTCAGGGAGCTGTGTTTAAAGACCCAGAGACAGGAAATGTTCCCTGGGGTGTTGACCAGTACTTGCAGTGTGATGGATGCCAACATGTCCACTTCCACAGCCGCTGCTCCATAGACCCCCTCTGTGCTCTCAGGCTTCAAGGCGCACCCGAGGTCTTCTGGGGGTTCTGACGCCTGTGTGGAAATAAGGTGAATTCACCACTAGTGCATGTTTTTACATCCTCTTCTTAGCTGGGACCTTTATCAAATAGATTCGTGTTGACATACCGCCCTCAACACTGGAGAACACATTACTGACTGAAAATCCTATTATCTACAATTCTCTAGAGAAGAGATAGGAGCACCTGGGTGGCTGAGTTGGTTAAGCGCTTGCCTTCGGCTCAGCTCATGATCTCAGGGTCCTGGGAATCAAGCCCCATGTCGGGCTCCCTACTCAGTGGGGAGTCTGCTTCTCCCTCCGCCTCTCCCCATGCTTGTGTTCTCTCTCTCTCAAATAAATGAAATCTTTAAAAAAAAAAAAAAGATAGATAACTGTAGGCTTCATTTCTAATATGTTTTACATACCGTTATGGGTTGAATTGTGTCCCCTTGAAATTCATATGTTGACTCCCAACCCCTACTACCTCAGAATGTGACCTTATTTAGACATGAGGCCTTTCCACAGGTAATCAAGTTAAAATGAGGCTGTTGGGGTGGGTTCGTATAAGAAGAGGAAGTTTGAAGAAGACTTGCACCAGGAAGAGAGCCATGTGAATATGAAGATGAACTTCTATGAGCCAAGGAGAGAGGCCCAGAACAGATCCCTCCCTCACAGCCTTCAGAAAGAACCAACCCTGATGACATCTCAATTTCAGACTTCTAGCTTCTAGAACTATGAGACAATAAATTTGTTCTTTATCACCCAGGCTATGATACTCTGGTGCAGCAGCTCTAACAAACTAATATACAAACAATAGTCATAAAATTCATTCTACAAAGGTGACTGTTTTTGTGATTATTGGTATGTAGATAAGAATCTACATAGTAGGGGTGCCTGGGTGGCTTAGTCGTTAAGCGTCTGCCTTCAGCTCGGGTCATGGTCCCAGGATCCTGGGATTGAGCCCTGTATCGGGCTCCCTGCTCAGCAGGAAGCCTGCTTCTCCCTCTCCCACTCCCCCTGCTTGTGTTCCCTCTCTCACTGTGTCTCTCTCAGTCAAATAAATAAATAAAATCTTTAATAAATAATTAAAAAAAGAGTCTACATAGTAATAGTAAATTGGTATCCATGTTAGAGGGAATTTAAAAACCTAAATATTTTCTGGGCAGATACCCCATAGGCTCATTGCCACCACCACACTTCTTGCCTGCTTTAAGTAACTGAGATATACTGAAAGGAGGGTGTGGCAGCAACTTCTGTCTCTGGACCCTTCACCTCCTACCCTCCAAACACATAGCATAGTATGCCTACACACATGTGCATGCATACACACAAACACATACCCACAAGCTTCCTCAGGTGAAGAGCAGGGTAGGTCTTCTGCTACTGATCATAAGCCATACTTCTGGTTTTACTTGTCCATTTATTCAGCAAGTAACTGATAAGTTCATTTTTTCAATATCTGATAAGTGCTAGACCATCTATTGGCACTATGGGACTAGGAAGAAAAGACATTGATCTTGTCCTTAAAGGATTTCACGTCTAGTAGGAAGGAATAGCTAAAATACCAGGTGAAATATGACGTGCCCCATAAAAAGATACCAACTACTTTGAAAGGTAAATTTAAGTGCCCTGGAACTTCGGAGGAGGGAGAAGTAACTTCCAAGCTGGGATAGTGGTGGTGGGGAGGCTTAAGTGAAGTCCAGAAATTGAGCTTGATCTTAAAATATAGACACAGAATAAAGTAAAAACAAAACAAAATAAAAAAATCTGACATACTAGAAGAAAATACTTGCAACATATATTACCAATAAAATACCCCCAATATATAAAGAACAATGAGGGACGCAGGACCAAAACACAGTAGAAAAATGGGGAAAAGAAAGGAATAGACAATTAACCCAAGAAAGATATAAAGAATAGCCCTTGAAGATACAAATAAAATGTTCAGACTCAGTTATAATTATAAGACGTAAATTAAAACAACACTGAGATATCACTTCTCATCTATCAACCTGCCCAAAATTTTAAGTATGACAACACATTGTGTGAATAATAGCTGTGAAGAAACAGCTATTCTCAAAATTTCTGGAGGAACGCAAGCCAGTGTGATCCTTCTGGAGGAACATTTGGTAATAGCTAATGAAACTACGTGTGCACTCATCCTTTGAGCCGGCAATCCCACTTCAAGGACCACACATATAAGACTATACCTATAAACAAGTAATTGCAAAATACTAGAAACCACCTAAATGCTCAGACACAGAAGAGTGGTTGAATAAACCATGGTACTTCCATATAATGGAATACTATGCAGCTATAAAGAAGTATGAGGACACTCTCTATGACCTGATTTGGAGTGATCTCCTGGATATACTGTTAGGTGAAGAAAAGTGAAAAGAGTATATACTTTCATGTATACTACACCTCATGTAAGAAAGAAGGGGATTGAGAAAATACACATGTATCTGCAAAAAAATGCACAAGAAATCTAGGAATAGATAAAAAAAAATTCTAAAGTGGGGGCACCTGGGTGGCTGAGTCAGTTAAGCATCCAACTGTTGATTTCTGTTTAGGTCATGATCTCAGGGTCATGGGATCAAGCTCCTTGTCATGCTCCACACTGAGCATGGAGGCTGCTTGGGATTCTCTCTCTCCCTCTACCCCTCCCCCCGCCACCCGCATGTACTCTCTCTCTAAAAAAAAAAGAAAAACTAAAGGGATTGGCTACGTACAAGAGATAAGTGGGAAAAGGATGGAAACTTGGTTATAGATATGAAGAGGGAGTAATACTTCTTTGAGTGTATCTTTTTTTTTAAAGATTTTATTTATTTGACAGAGAGAGACACAGTGAGAGAGGGAACACAAGCAGGGGGACGGGGAGAGGGAGAAGCAGACTCCCCACTGAGCAGGGAGCCCGATGCGGGGCTCGATCCCAGGACCCCGGGACCATGACCTGAGCCGAAGGCAGGTGCTTCACGACTGAGCCACCCAGGCGCCCCTTGAGTGTATCTTTTTATATGCCTTTGGATTTTAGGACCATAATCATGTTTCACATACTCAGAAAAATAAACAATTAAAACCAACCAGGATTTTGGGGGAACTCAAAATGGAATACCAAAAAAAATTTAATTATATTACACATAAATAACGTAACCATGGTGAAGGGGGTGAGAAAGAAAAGAACTAAAATAAGTAACTGAAAAATACTACATCGGATACTGTAAGATTAAAGACAAAAAGAATTGTACACAAAGACTGTATTCTAGTTAGTAATACACTGGAATGTGGGTTAGCAATTCTGAAATTAGTTTATGTATATACCAGGTTTACGTAAGTCAATTATTATAGATAATGAGAACCAGGTTTCTTACTATCAGAGAGAGAAGTACAAACACGGAAAGAGGAAAAGGTAGAATAAACCCTTTGATGCTGAATTGAGATGAGAGTTATCAGCATGAATTTTTGGTGATATAAGATAGGTAAGTAGGTAGATGTAGAGATGATAGATAAAAGTGTTGTGTGTGTTGGGGGGGGAAGGGTAGTATACATACATACATTTCCTAGAGGGCCCAGAGGCAATGACATCCCAATAGCAATGAGCAAACCCAGCTCTCAGACCATGGTTTCTATATACTATCCTCCAAAAAACCAGTGCTTCTTTGGAGAAGTGGCTAATTCCAGGGCTATAGTAAGGAAAAATGCAAGATGAACCTGAACTATATTGTAGCACCGGGAAGTAAGGAAGTGCTTGAGAAAACTGGGCACAAGTTGAAAGGACACAGAAGTCATCATGAAGTAGCTCCTAATGGCCAAAGCTGGACAAATCTGAGCAATAAAATAAAACTGATAGTCTTGGGTTATAAGTCATAGAATGAAATAAATATCTCTGAGTCCATACTGATATAAATAAATAAAATGGAGAGAAGAGATAGCTCTTCCTCACACAACTCCAATTTAGACATGTAGAGGGAATAAAGTAAAAAGAAAATCACCATTAGGCAAACATCACAGTAGTAACTATTGTAGGCAAGATCCCCCAATGGGTGCTAAAATCAGCAGGTGAAAATTAGAGGAGAAACGGGATATTTGCATCTTCCCCCAAATACTTGCTAATTACAAAGAGAAAAAAGAGTAACTTTGCAGTGGAGAAACCCAGCCTACACCACATTCTTCTTCAAACAGAAATGATAAATGGTGAAAACATTCAGATTTTAAACAATTAAGCGGATTGTAGGAACAGTAAAATCATCCTATTTTGGTTCCAGGTTGTATCGGTAATACAGCTAAGGATGTAGTTGCTTATTGATTAGAGTTAACATTGGCAAGTTTTGTCTACCAGAATGGTTGGTTATTCAAAACACTCCTTGGGGCGCCTGGGTGGCTCAGTCGTTAAGCGCCTGCCTTCGGCTCAGGTCATAATCCCGGGGTCCTGGGATGGAGCCCAGCATCGGGCTCCCTGCTCCGCGGGAAGCCTGCTTCTCCCTCTCCCACTCCCCCTGCTTGTGTTCCCTCTCTCGCTGTGTCTCTCTCTGTCGAATAAACAAATAAAATCTTAAAAACAAAACAAAAAAAACACAAAACACTCCTGAACTGTAAGAGTCTCAGAAAGATGTCTCATCTGAGCAATGCGAACTGTGGAAGAAATCAAAACCATTTTTTTAAAGAGCACTGCTTCCCTAACAATACACTTCCCACTAAGGTGGGAAAATGCCCCAAAGGAGCAGCTTCAACTTCAGGAAGGTGAAAGCACATTGTGCAGACTGCTCATCTTTGCTTCATCTAGGATTTGTAGGATTATCTGTTCAATGTTGTTTGAGAGCTACAATCCTAAATATTGCCTAAGAATATAACTTATACTACATGAAAAAAAATAACACAGGACTTAATACTAGGAACCAAGACCAATTATCAGCTTTTTTTAAAGATTGTGTTTTATAAGAAAACACTTAAATGTGTGCAGCTATTTTCGTAAGTTGAAAAGACACCAAAAGTTTAAAACAGCATAGCAAATAATATCAACATTTTTGGTCCACGCTGAAATACTGTGTATGCAAAATATCTTAATTATTTGATGCCAGTATCTGTTAAAAAATTAAAACCAGCCATGCTTCTGGCATAAAAAACAAATCATGTGTTAAATCAGGAGTTTTCCATTCATGTGGAATGTTACAGAAACCTATTTCACACTTTAAGTTTGAGAATATTTTTAATATCTCTGATCTTAAGGGGGTGGGGAGTGAAGTTCCCAGGGCATCGTGTAGTGTATGTTATGTGTTTATGTATTCTATCTATGTAGAAGAAAACAGACTGACTAAATATATTGGTATGAATCCTTACCTGGAAATGTTCATGGAATTGGCTACTTTTATGTTCACTTTTTGTTATATATTTCTAATATTTTCAGTTCTCTATTATTTAAGCTTCCTTCCTTTGAGTAAATACCTAAGCTGTTAGATGAATTGCATGAAGGAGAAGGGTAATGAAAAACAAATTTGGAACCTGAAGGAGCCAGAGTCAGACGATGGAGCAATTTGCACGTCAGTTTAATGGGAAGTCACTGAAGGTTCTAAGGCAGGTGGTAAAGGATGTAGCCATGCTTCAGAAAGAACAGTCTGGCAGCCCTATCGGAGATGAACTGTAGAAGGAAGAAGCCACTTATGATATTATTGTGATTAAGGGGGAGTTAATGAAGGAAGTGGCTGTGAGACCAGAGAATATGAGGTGATTATATGAGAATTATCAAAGAAAGGAAATTGACAAGACTTGGTAACTGACTGAATGTGAAGGTAAAGAGAGGAAGTAGTCCAAAATAATGCTGACCTCTCAAGCTTGGGAACTGGACAGGCCCATAAATAGAAATCAATTAATACAAGTATAGGAGCAGGTTTGGGGAAATATAAATGAAATAAATTATATAGGTGGTTTTTAATGAGCAAATGGAAAACCTATTTTTATCTAGATCCAGGAAGCAGTTGGAAATTAGGGACTCGGGTTTGAGGGAGAAGCCTGGATTCTCTTTAAGGAGAAAGGGTAATTCCTGTTACAAAGGGTAATTCCTGTTACTTTTTCATGCTGAGTATCTGTGTCTTTCCTGAGTCTAAACCGGACAGAACATGACTCTGGATGAAATGGAGTGCATGTGAGTACATAATATTTTTAAATACACAAAAAGAAAAACCCATATAGCCATGGTATGCTTTGATAGCTTACAAAATATGGCCTCTAGAGAAAATAGCTAAAGTTAGAATTTTAATATTACTTTACCATGGGATACGATGATGATATCCCCAGTGATGAATCATTGTTCTTATGATTGATTAAAACACACTTGATCACAGGCAGATCTTGATTTGTAATAGTCTCAAATATCATTGCTGAAAAAACAACTGTAAAACAAAATAAAGACAATGATGTTGATACAGGCACACCTTGAAAAGAAAGTATGTATTCATTTCACCACAAAACAACAAAACAAAATGTAATCAGGCAAAGGAGGCCAACAGGAAAGTGTGTATGATACATAATTTCATAAAAGGCAAGTCTTACTATAAATCAGGATCAGAGGTACTTAGAACAGTCCTGTCCAATGTGCTCCTGAGCATTTGAAATAAGGGTAGAGCAAATGAGAAATATTATTTGCACACAAGCAATTTTTTCTTCTTTATGGATGCTTGTGAAATTTTTTCTTTGTGCACTAAAATCTTTAGAATTGTGTGCCATATTGAGATTCTATTTTCACCCATTGTGCTAGATGCTCAGTGGGCCTTTTCAATCCAGAAACTCATATTCTTCTCTTTGGAGAAGTTTTCTTGAATTATTTCTTTGATTCTTCCTCTCTCCCTCACTTTCTGTTCTAGCATTTGGATGTTTTTTCCTCAAATGACTGATGATCCTTGACAGTGTGCTCATGTATAACAATGAAGTCCAAAGTGTTCATTGTAAGCTCTATGGGCATCGTGTGACCTGCTGCCCCATCTTCTCTATATGGTTATCTTTAGGTTTTCTCATGGGCTAATCCAGATCCCCCAGAGGAGAGTCCTCTCTCATGTTGGCTGCCCAGGTTCTGGGAGCTGGGCAACTTAGGCTCTTTTGGGGTGTCCTACAATGGAAATCAGGTTGCTTTTCAGCTTTCTCATCCTGCACCTTTTGATTCAGCTTTCTTCATGTGTTTTAAATCTCTCTAAATTTTATTTTCTGCCTCTCCAGTGTCTTTGTCCTTTTAAGTTTACGTCTTTAAAAAATTTTGTCATTTGAACACTTGGAGGAAGGTAAATGTATGTGTTCAACCATCTTTGTACCTTGTAATCTGATTAAAATCTCAGTATTGTAGCTATGAGAACTACATATTAAGACACATTCACTGGTTTGTTTTCATCTGTCTTTATTATTTTATTACTTATTAAAGAAGTCATAGCAATACAAGTAGAACTGTAAGTGAAAATTCACCCTAAATCCTGGCATCCTAACAAATAAACCATTTTCATTTCTCTAGAACCTTTCCCATCTGTGAACATAGTTAACTAATTCCATTAATCGAGCAGAAATCATTTTATATTCTGATTTTGAAAATATATCATAAGCACTTTTTATGGTACTAGATGCAATTGATTTGCTTTCCTTTGGTGGCACTAAAAAAAATGACCTAATCATTCCCTGGCTGTTATACATTTTAGGGGTTTTATTTTTGGCCCTCTTGCCATTTAAAATACTTCACTAAGGGACATCTGGGTGGCTCAGTCAGTTAAGCATCACACTCTTGATTTTGGCTCAGATCATGATCTCAGGGTTGTGAGATTGAGCCCTGTGTCAGGCTCCACGCTCAGCAGTAGTCTGCTTGGGATTCTCTCTCTCCTTCTCCCTCTGCCCCTCCCCCTGCTCATGTGCATGTGCATGCTCACTCTCAAATAAATAAATACATAAATACATAAATGAATCTTTGAAAAATGAAATAAAATACTACACTAAGCTTTTCACTTTTTTTTTTTTTAATCTAAGTGTTTCACTTTTAAAATATTATTTCTTGGGTGCCTGGGTGGCTCAGCATCTGCCTTTGGCTCAGGTCATGATTCCAGGGTCCTGGGAACAAGTCCCACATCAGGCTCCCTTCTCAGCGGGAAGCCTGCTTCTCCCTCTCCCTCTGCCTGCCACTCCCCCTGCTTGTGCTCTCTCTCCCTCCCTCTCTGTCAAATAAAATTAAAAAAAAAAATAGTATACATTTCTGGAAATGGAACTAGTGGATTAAAGGATATAAACATATATAAAGGATATATTTAAATGGTTCTTGATATGCATTGCCATTTGGTTTTTCAAAGGTGCTATACCAATTTATATAGCCACATGTAAGGTGAGAATTTTATGACAATTTCATCAGGATTAGTCATTATGTGTTTTTGATTTCCCTTAATATAGCCCCTAGTCTTTTCTTTCCTTTTCTTTTTTATTTGAAGCTATCTCTACACCCAATATGGGGCTCGAACTCATGACCCCGAGATTGAGAGCTGCATGCTCTTAACAGTCTGCTTGAGATTCTCTCCCTCTATTTCTGCCTTCCCCCCCGCTCACATGCTCGTGCTCTCTTTTTCTCTCTCAAATAAATAAATAAATCTTAAAAAAAAAAAAAAAAAAGAGTTGCATGCTCTTTCGTCTGAGCCAGTCAGGTGCCCAGCCCCTAGTCTTTTAAAAGAAAGGGGAAAAAAAAGAAATCGAATAAGAACAATTTTAAGGGACAAAGGGGAATAAAAAGATTAAAGAGAGTTTAAGAACCTTCCCTGCCCTACTTCCTAGGGTTTTTTTCTCCCTACCCTTTTTTCAAATAGTTTATTCAGTATAATTAATATACAGTAAGTTGAACATAATTTAGAGTGTATAATTTGGTAAGTTTTGATATAAATACAAATCTGTCTGTAAAACCATCATCATAGTCAAGATAGTGAACTTAGTCACCCCTAAAAGTTTCCACATGCCCCTTGGTAATCCCTCCCTCCTACTCACCCCACAACCGCATGCCAAGCAACCTCTGATCTCCTTTCTGTCACCATAGATTATCTTGAATTTTCCAGAATTTCATATAAATGGAATTCCATAGTATGAAATTTTTTTTTGTCTGGCTTCTTTCACTCTGTATTATTTTTAGATTCATCCCTACTGTAGTATATATCAGTAGTTGATTCCTTTTAACTGACAAGTAGTAGTCTAGTATAAAGATACAACACAATATTTTAATTCATTTACATGTGGATAGAATTTGGATTGTTTCCACTTTTAGCCTCTTACAAATAACGCTGCTATGAATATTTGTATAAAAGTCTTGGTATGGACATATGCTTTTATTTTTCTTGACTAAATACCAAGGATTGGAGCACCCAGGTCATAGGGGGGGTGTCTATGTCTCTTTCTAAGTGCCAAACTACTCTCCAAAGAGGTTGTATCATTTTATATTCCTATTGTCATTGTATGGGAATTCCAGCTGTGGAAGTGACATCCTCACCAACACTTGGCATGATGAGAATTTTTAATTTTAGCCATTGTGCTAAGTATATAATAAATCATTGTGGTTTTAATAACTGTTTTCCTACTAATGATGTTGAGCACCCTTTCAGATGCTTCTATGACATACCATATATCCTTTGGCAGTGTGTCTGTTCACATATTTTGCCCACATCAAATCTCTTAAAATTGGGGTGCTTATTTTCTTATTATTGAGTTTTGACAGTATTTTTCCCAGTTTTATTGTGATATTGTCAACATATAACATTGTATAAGGTTAAGGTATACAACACAACGATTTGATATATGTATACATTACAACATGATCACCACAATAAGTTTCACATAGGAACAATTTTTTTTCTTGTGCTGAGAACTTCTAAGATCTACTCTCTTAGAAACTTTTAAATATATAGCAGAGTACTGGTAACTATAGTCACCATGTTATTACATCCCTAGAATTTACTTATTTTATAATCGGACGTTTGTACCTTTTAACCACCTTCACCCATTTCTCCCACCCCCTACCTCTGGCAACCACCAATCCACTCTCTTTTTCTGTGGGTTTGGTTTTTTAGATTCTACATAAAAGTGAGATCATGCAGTATTTGTTTTACTCTCTCTGACTAATTTCACTTAGCATAATGCCCTCAAGGTCCATTCATGTTGTCAAAAATAACAGGATTTCTTTCTTTCCTTTTTATGGTGGAATAGTATTCATAGATAGATAAATAGATGTATACCTATCTCAATAGCAATAAAAAAAAAGAAAAAGAAATCTGGTTGGAAACTGTGCAGAATAAATCAATAGACACTTTTTCCAAGGAGGGCAGCATCATTAATCATTAGGGAAATGAAAATTGAAACCACAATGAAATATTATCTGACACCTGTTAGAATGGCCATCATTAAAAAGACAGAAGATGATGAGTGTTGGTGAGGATGCAGACAAAAGAGAAGCCTTGTGCACTGCTGGAGGGAACGTAAGGTGGTACAGCTACTGTGGAAAACAGTATATAGAGTAGATTTTTATCTATCTATCTATCTGTGTATCTCAAATTTTCTTTACCCATTCTTCCATCAATGGACACTGAAGTTGTTTCCAAATCTTGGCCACTATAAAAAGTGCTGCAATGAATCACTCTGGAAAACAGTATGGAGGTTCCTCAAACAGTTGAAAATAGAGCTACCATACGATCCAGCAATTGCACTACTGGGTATTTACCACAAAGATACAAATGTAGGGATCCGAAGGGGTACGTGCACCCCAATGTTTATAGCAGCAATGTCCACAATAGCCAAACTATGGAAAGAGCCAAGATGTCCATCGACAGATGAATGGATAAAGAAGATGTGGTATATATACACAATGGAATATTATGCAGCCATCAAAAGGAATGAGATCTTGCCCTTTGCAACAACGTGGATGGAACTGGAGGGTGTTATGCTGAGTGAAATAATTCAATCAGAGAAAGACATGTATCATATGACCTCACTGATATGAGGAGTTCTTAATCTCAGGAAACAAACTGAGGGTTGCTGGAGTGGTGGGGGGGTAGGAGGGATGGGGTGGCTGGGTGATAGACATTGGGGAGGGTATGTGCTATGGTGAGTCTGTGAATTGTGCAAGACTGTTGAATCACAGACCTGTACCTCTGAAACAAATAATGCGATATATGTTAAGAAAAAAAAGAAGAAGAAGATGGCAGGAGGGGAAGAATGAAGGGAGGGAAATCAGAGGGGGAGACGAACCATGAGAGATGATGGACTCTGAAAAACAAACTGAGGGTTCTAGAGGGGAGGGGGTGGGGGGATGGGTTAGCCTGGTGATGGGCATTAAAGAGGGCACGTTCTGCATGGAGCACTGGGTGTTATGCACAAACAATGAATCATGGAACAC